TTATTATTTAATTTTATTAGGACATGTACAACTGAAAAATTAAAGTTTATTAGTTGTTTTTGAAATTTTAAGACTTATTGTCTGTCTTAAGTATGATTATTTTGTCACTTGGGTATGTCTCATATATGATACTATTATCATAACGAATCGGTCCGAAAGCTCGATTGCTAAACATAAAATATTAAAAGTCATGAAAAACACAATGAGTCACCACTAATTTTTTTTATGGTGTAATTAGTCATTCAAAAATTTTATCTTTTTAATAAAACAATAAAATGAGTTAAAAACTTTATTAAAATGACGATTTTTGTCTATAAAGACAATATCAGGTTCGAGAATCAATTACGTATGTGAAATGATTAGCACTCACACAATGCCCATAAATTAGTATCAATTAATTATGTGTTATTTGTAATTCTGAATAAAAATAATTTTTATATGAAATTTGATTATAATTTCCTTCATTTTGTGATAAATTAGTAAAAAATATTTTATTTAAGAATATTAAGACAATATTTAAATCGAAAAAATATCTACAAAGTCTCCAATGTAAAGGTAGAATTTGAATATAGTCTTTCCATTTAAAATTTATCAACATTTCTTCTAAAAAAAATAAAATAACATTATTTGTAAATGATAATTATTGATGATTCTCCAACATCTAAGCAAAGTATCAATCAATTATATTTCATAGAATGCTATTTTAATTTTATTTATTCAAAACTAAAATTTTAAGAAAACTTTTGGTGCAAAAAACCGTAATATAATTAATATTAAATATTCATAACTAGAGCAAACATATATATGCATTATAAATAAAGGCACTAATCTAAAAGCCAAACATATGCAAAATGATGATCAAATGTGAATTTAAGACTCAGGTTTTCAAATATAAAAAAATCACTTAGACTTTTCAACATTTAGGCAGAGTTTGGATACAAATTTTTATATTTAAAATCTCATCCTATTATTTTTATTATTTTATACTTGTTAATTTAACAAATTTATTTTGAGTTATGAAAAAATATGAAAATTCATAATGAAATAAAATTTTTTAAATACCCCAATATCTAAGTGGCATTCGGGAACAAATTATTTTATAAAAGGTTTTCATGCAAATTTGTATAAATTTAAAAAAAAAAAATGAGTTTGGAGTTTTAGTTAGATTTGGATTCCAATTTTAAGAATTTTACAAACCTCTCTAAAAATATCCAAGCAAACTTTGGAGCAAGCTTGTTTTCATAATTATTCTAAAAATAATTAAAACTTTATAATCGATTACATTTTTTTACATAAAATTATTATTATTATTATTATTAGTAAAAAAAAAACTTCAAAGTGCAAATAACAATTAAGATACATAAAATATATTCAAGGAACATAAACACATCAATTTGAAGATTAATATATGCACAAAGAGATTAGACATCCAAAACCTAACATCATCTAATAATAAGTATGATTATAATGCTAAAATAATTATGAAAAAAGGATGTTTAAATATTCTTATATCCTAATTAAAATTTATTATTATTCCATTATCCACCTTAACAATATTATTATTATATTATTATATTTTTAAGAACAATATAGTAACCATTCCTACCATAGAAAAATTATGCAGTGTATATGACACTTTCTTTACACCAAGAATGATAAGAAAATAATGGTGGAACCATATAGTACATGTGATGTTTTTTCATATCTATGAATGATTCATGCACTGGTTGAATAAACAAAAGCATGCAAGGAAGCCAAGCAAACAACTATAATAATAGAATAATTTATAATATTCGGAAGGCTTGATCTATATATGGCTTATTCTTTGGTTTTCCCATCTTTTATATGATCAATAGCCAAGACAAGCCAAAACAGATTTGATGCAGAAGGAAGAAACCAGAAAATAACAAAAAGCTTGAAGCTTTATGGCTTATACAAAACCCCTTCATCGTGAAACAAAGAACTGAAAGAAAAACTCAAACTATTAAACCTTTCTTTCTCTTCCAACAACTTATCACTCCCTTCTTTAGAAACTATTTTTTGTTAAAATTTTTTTTCACATCAAAATGGATGAGGCTGTGTGGAATGGCATCGAAATTGTGGCTACTCATGACAGTGTGGAAAGGCATCCAAACCGTGACTGCTTATAAAGAGCCAAACAACATTGTTTTGTGGCTTCAAGCTAATCTTCGGGTTTTTATTTATTTCAATTTAGGCTAACTAAAAACTATTCATGAAAGATGAAAAAGTAAAGATGGAAAACTTTGTGGAATGAGCCAAATTATTGCTGCAACTAGATGAAACAAAAGCTATTCGGTAGCTCCAACAAAAGAAAATGAAGGTTTAACCATTTTGTAAAAAAAATAAACATAGAACACATAAAGCCCCCCATCCCAACTTCATCAACATACACATCAAAGTTAAAGCATACAAGGAACAATCATGAACATTTCGCAGAAGATACAATGATAGATGCGAAAATGGTGTAACAAACAATGATGTAAAACGACAACATACATCCTTGTGACCATGGACATAAGTTGTCTTACCTTTTATTTTTCTTTTATTTTTTAATTTTTCTAAAGGTTGGTTTCTCTTCTTTTGTTTTCTATGAAAAGCTCCCACATTTCCAAATCTTCTTTTTAAAAATACTTCATTTTTTCATTTCTTTTTTACTTAGTTTTCCTTTTTTCTTTCAGCCTATCTCCTCTTTTTTTTAGCTTTTTTTTTACGTGTTTGACCCTTTTTTTTGCCTAACCTTTCAACCCTCTTAAGCCTTCGCTATAATAGTCAGCAAAGAAAAAAAGATCTTATTCTTACTAAACATGGACCCTTGGATGAGATTGCATCCAAAGGTCAAAGCTTGTCTTTTTATTGATTCCAAGGAACTATCTTTGGCCATTGGATCAAGACCATTAAAAGATCTAATAGTCTATATTATTCACTGCAAAGATGAGATTTTTAGGCCTTCCAAACACATAAAAAGATCATTTTACCCATAGTGCAAAATTTTCAATATTTAGGCCATTTTCTTAGAAATCAATGTTCTCATGCTCATTTTTGAGATTTTAAAACACCAAAAATCATGAAATATTATAAGATTGAGATCTGAAAGTTCATGAAGATTTGAGCTCGAGAAGGTCAAATTACGAAAACACCATTATAGGGGTATTTTGATAATTTTACACTTCTCGGGATACTGTTATGATCTCAAATGCACCAAAAATAATAAAATATTATGAAATTAAAATCTGAAAAGCTTCATGAAAATTCAAGCTCGAGAAGGTCAAATTACGAAAATACTCTTATAAGGGTATTTTGATAATTTTATATTTTTTGGGGAGCAATAAAAATTTTTTTAGTGTTTTAAAAATCTTCAAATTTAATTTTAAACCACATTTATTCCAATTAGGTTTGAAAATTAACCCAGATTCTATTTATTTTGATCAAATTGTATGTAATTTTGACTTTGTTTGATCGAATTTAACTTGAATTAACTTTGATTTTTTTTTTACGGGTAAATTTGTGGGCTTTTTATAGGCTGTAAATAGTCTAGATATGTGTTCACAAATGAACTCTGAGTCAATCATATTGAAAAATATTCTGAACAAAATTTGATGTCTACAACTATTAAGGAACCTCAAAGATATTAAGGAGATATATAGAAATATCTAGATGCCGTAGAAATTTTACAATAAGTTTAGAAAAATCAACAAGAGGACTAACAATGAAATCACATTGTTATTTTCTCATTTAGGCACATTTAGATACAAGCACATTGAATCATATTTAAGTGTTATTTTTTGCTACATAGCCACATTGAGATTCATTTTCAATAAAGTCACTAGTAATTATAACTATGGATTGGTCTTAAGTAGGAACATAAAGGCTGCCATGATTTGATGTTAGATGGTTTTGTTAAATATGATTATTAAAATATTGTCTCAAAAGGTTAAATTGCTTTTAAAATCAAACAACTCAATTAATATTGTCTAAGTAAGAGAATTTTTGAAATTTTTTATAAGTGGGTTACTATTAATTTATGATTTTAATGATTTAATAAAATCAACTTATGAGTTTAGCCCTAATAAGAGATAAATATGAGAACCCAAAAAATTTAATATGATCACTTAAGTATGGATTTGTATATCTTATTAGATAAATATGATTTGATAATTATGTAGACTTTTAACCCAATAAGTCTTTAATGTGGAGGCTTATAGAGTGGTTTAATTAATTAGGCTAAGATTTTCTGTTTACTTTTATGAGTTATGGTAATTGTTCATTGAGTACCGCCAATAAGGGAATAGTGAAGAGAAAAACTTGGATAAGTGTTCATTGCAAATTCATCATGATCACTTAAGAAAGTATGTCAAATTTATTTATTTATTTTTTGATGTTATAATTTTTACATAAAATCTTGGATTACTGATTACATTATGATGGATACCGATGAACATTTGCTCTTAGTGCATTGGTTTAAGATGGTTGTCAATTTAATTGGTGAATGGTTCAAATTATTTAATCCTAGGAACTGTTACACCAACAAAAGCAATAGAAAAGACTTGGATCGCAAATCTCTTCCATTGCTATTAAATTAAAAAATGGTTTTCAATCCTTTGCGTCTCTCTTTCTCTCCCTGTATAAACCAACTCTCAGTAGAACAGATAATTGTTGTCCCTTTTCCTCAGTTCCTTGGCAAATAAAAAGACACGACACAGTTCATTGCTTTACAGGATATAAAAACAAATACTAGACGTAATGGATTCAACGCGATCAGTAGTTGGTGGTTCAGTGGCAATTATAACACGCAAAGGACTCCAAGAATAATTTCATGAATGTAAAACATTATAAATGTATGATTCTTTGTATCCTTGCCATATTAGCTATGATAATTTAATTTAACAATTTTTTAAAATTATTTTTAAATAAATAAAATTACTCACTTACCAAAAAAAAAAAAAAAAAAGTATACATTAAACAAGAAATCTGCAGATATATTGAACAATATTTTTCATATAATTTCTTTCATTTTTCTTGAACATGTTTGTACAAGAGAAAATTATAATTCAACTGATTACTCAAATCCACTTATGCCCAGCACAAAAGAATGACCAGCCTCTGTAATAATCTAAAAACTGTGACAATTTGAAAGGGAAAAAAAACCAATCAAAGAAATTGAAGTATCATATATATTTGGAGAAGACAGAAACGGTGATGATTTTTGTTTGATGATTTTGCTAAGAGGTTGGAACAAAGGTTCCAACATAACCAACACTGGCGATGAAGAAGGCAATGGATTGCAGGAAGAGGAATATGAAATAGCGATTCTTTCCAAAAGCGAGATCATAGCAGCCACAGAAGAAGAGGTATGCCCCAACAGCAAGCTCTAGCAAATAGAGTCTGTTTATATGCAACCCAGCAGAAAATATGAACAATATTATTCAGCATTTGGGCAATGGATTAAGTCTGTAAATTGATTCAGAGTAATTACCTTTCTCCAATTCGAATGCGAGGTTTCCTGGGAGCTTTTGGACCTAGTTTTGTCTTGAGAGCATCTCCCAATTTCTCTGTAACAACCCATTCATTCACTCTTCCTGCCTCCAGCAGACCAATAAATGTTGCCTTTGTCCGATGCAGAGACATAACATTCTCAAAAAGAATCCAGAATATCACTAGATGCAGTGACCTTGGAGTCCCAATAGCATTGAGAAGAGTGATGGTGGAAGGAATGTAGACAGCCCCCCACTTGGGAACTTCAACTTCAGGGACAAAAACAGTTGCCGGTAAAACAACACAGTAGAAAACAAATGTGACAAGGTGAGCCACAATCTTTCGGACAAAGAAGAAGCTGTAGATCACATAAAACTTCTTCCAGAGAGAAACTTTCTGTAATAATCAGCAGTCCAATGGGTATTAGGTTACTGTGTAAAAAAAAAATTAATTGGTTTGATATTCTTCATTCTTAAATTATTTGGGATCATACCCTATTTCTTATGATCTCCATTGCCATTTTTCTGAAGAGGTTTGCAGGGCCACATGACCATCTGTGCTGTTGATATCTGTAGGCTTTGAAAGTACTTGGCAGTTCATTTTTAACCTAAAATAAGCCAACACTTAGATGGTTAAACGGCAAACATTACATCTGAAAAACATTTTGATATCATACAACTATTGGAATCTTGCATTCTTCTGTAGATGATAAGATTGTTTGTACTTGAATTAGATATAACAGTACTAAGACATTTTCAATCAGATATAACAGTTGCCAAGATCTTAACTGCTGACAGTTCAGCCTCATCAATTCAAATTTCGTTAGCAAATAACAATGTTGTAAAAGAAAAAGATGTTTAAATTTCCAAATAACAGCCCCACTTGTTGATGCATAGCAATCAGTTTTCACAAGATTGAAACAGTTCTTGCTCTCTTTTTCGTAATAAAGGTGGCTGATAGCATAACATTTTATCAGGCACTAGTAATAATCTTTTGACAGTACTATAATCATGTTAAGATCATAATAATACCTTGAGGTCACTGACATAAACGAATTTCCAGCCTTTAAGACTAGCTCGGACAGCCAGATCCATGTCTTCCACTGTTGTTCTGTCTTTCCATCCCCCAGCTTCATTGAGTGCTGAAATTCTCCAGACACCAGCCGTCCCTGCATCGTATAATCTAGTTTCTTATAACCATGTCAGATATACATAGAAAATTTGCTTTATTAGAGGACTTAAAACTGTTGATGCCCTTGTGAAGGTTGTTTACCATTGAAACCAAAGAAAGCATAGGTCGAAGACCCCACTTCTTGCTCCACTATGAAATGGTAATCCAATGACATCTCTTGCATCCTTGTCATTAAGCATTCATCAGAGTTGACTGCAACACAAGCCAAAAGTCATGATGTTATCACATGATAATCAATTTATTGATTTAATATTTAGGTGTTATTAACTTTTAAAAAAGAATCACTTCTCCAAGCTCCCTTTTCGGAAAGCACTTTTCTAGGAATTAATCATTGGCTAAAAATCAAATGACTTTCTCATTTCCACAGCTAATTTCTTCATCTAAAGTTCAGCAAAAAAGACCCTAATAAAGCCAATGAACTAACAAAAAGATAGCTACATATGATTTTATTAAATTATAAATTTAATCCATCACAAATAATTAAGCTTTTACATGATAATTAAATATTGATTCAGAAATATTTAATTGCTAGGTTTGACATTTTTGTTTTTAACTTTGTTCGGTTACATGACAATAAATAGTTCACCCACCAACCTCTCTACAGCAGGAAACATTCTGTTTCTCTCCAATGATATCATTGATCCTTAATTTAAAAGGAAAAAAAAAAAGGGCAATAGACCATGCATCTCGTGGCCCAAAAAAAGTTTCAAGCAATAATCAAAGCAAAAGTAGCTTAATCAAGTATAATAAAGAGGTTAATGAAGGTTACCAAATTTCCAACGTGCTTGAACAAGTGCAATTTCAGGGTTGTTGACAAGAAATGGGATGGTACGCCAGAGGAAGTCTGGCTCAGGCTGGAAATCAGCATCGAAAATGGCCACATAGTCGCATTGTTTGACATAGCTATGTTTCATGCCTTCTTTCAGAGCACCTGCTTTGTATCCATTCCTGTTGTCCCTTGTCTCATACTTTATGTTTATGCCTTTGTTTGCCCATCTTTGGCATTCTAGTTCCACCAGGGTCTGTAGCATTTCATAATCCACATAAAAAATCGTTAAAATTTTGTCATTAATGAAACATTAATATTTTCCAAATCTGTAAATTGAGGTATAGTCACTTAAAATTTCCAAGACATGGGTTACTGACAGAACCTTAATGGCAGGATCTGTCGAATCATCGAGCACTTGAATTATGATCCGATCAGCTGGCCATGAAAGTCCACATGCAGCTCCAATTGACAGCTGATAAACCTATATCCCATAAAACAGGAAACATAAGCAAATTTCATATACATATATATATATATACACATTTATTTATTTCCAAATTAAGCAAAGTACTCACCTCTTTTTCATTGTACATTGGGATTTGTACTAAAACCATAGGGTAAGCAGAATTACCAAGCTCAACATCATCCTTCATTGACTCCCATTTGTACCTCTTCTCAGGTTTTCTCCCTAACAACTTGACAAAGACTATAACAATTACCATATACACCTTTTCAACAAAAAGCATTATTGACATTGCCAGACACAAAACCACCATAACTTTCAGAACAGGCACGATCAATGGCGCCTTTGTTTGCTGCCAAATCAACCCAATTTGGCCTGTAATATCATCCTGACTGACCTGAAATGTGCCTGGAATTATGGTCCTGGACGTCGTCATCTGGTCCATTAGGATACTTTCTTTAGTTCTGTGGAATGGACAGATTGGAGCCTGCCTGAGAAAGTACTAAATGTGCTTTGGTTATAAAGGAGCAGCTTGACCTTGCGAAAAGAACACGAATCTTTTACTTGGTTTCAAGAGCCGTGATTATTGCTTGTGAGTTACGACTAGGCAATGTAGTAGAGACAGCAAGCTGAACTTTTGTCAGTAAGTAGATCAAAAGCACTCTATTGCAGCAACAGACCCACTTTCAGAACGATCACAAAATGAAGGTGAACCCAGTTTCAAATCTTGCTATACAAACCAAGAAAAAGTTAAAAGAGGCAGAAAAACAAAAACTACAAAACAAGCATGAAATGCTTATTGAAACAGAGTCAGAGACAAAACCAAACTCGGCTTTGGGGGCTCTTTACTCCCAATTCTCTCCTCTTTGCCATGCTAGAAGAACATTGCCTGTGTATATATATAACAAAATTTACAAAGAATAATTGGTCAAAAGGAAAGAGACTGCGTATCTTAAACCAGCAATGGAAGTCGAATTCCTGCAGCTTTCGATTTACAAGTCCCACTTTTTTTTTTTTTAATTCAGTGTCCCAGCTACAAATTTTAGTTCAATTTTTAAATCTGTTACCAACCCAAACGAGTTTAGACATCACTTTCAATCTCCTTGGTGTGAATGTGAGGAAAGAAAAAGCTAGGAAAATTGATACAAATCTAATAAATAATAAGTCTTTTAGTTGCAATAAAAAAAAATCAGATTTCTTTTGTTTTTGGTTACATTAAATAAAGCTTGCATGCAGTATAACCAAAAAAAAAAAAAAAGAAATGAAAATAGCATTTAGTGTGAATCACATTCTTTTTATGAATTAAAAAGGATCAGTTGCATATGTTTGAAGTTTTTTTGTTGTTTTATTGAGCGGTAAGTTTGAATATGAACAAAAGGTGGTAATTAGATATACGAAGAGAAGATTTAAAGGAAGAAATGATAGCCTGGCCTGGTTCAATTTATGGGTGCCCAGTAATTTTCTGGATCAATCGAGTAGGTTGGCTGCTTTCTGGTAGCATTATGTTGAAAACTAATACATATTTTTTAATTTGGTCATGATTCATACATGCTCAATTACTCATCAATAAAATCAGCATTGACATTAACCCAGTAAACATTGAAATTAAATTGAAAGAGATATTATACCATCAATAGTTTAAAGCCTTATAATCCATTCTTTGTACTAATTCTCAGTCAAATTCTTTCAAGAATATGGGGAAAAAAGATTTGCCTTTGAGATTTCAACTAGTTTTCGAGCTCTACCATTGAGCCTGAAATTTTTAGTCGAAAATTTACATACAAGCTGACAATGGCGGAGATGCAATCCAATTGAAACTTAAATACATTATGTTTTATCTTTAATTTCGAACTTAAAAACGAAAATAAAGCATTAAGGGGCAATGGTTATGTTTTTCAGAAAGATTGCTTCTATGGCCACTACATGGCAGAACTACATTGGCATCACACGTGGGGAAAGGATGTGCTCATGAAGTCATGATGACCAATAATAACTTGGCCAAAGAAGAGAAGTACCCACCATTGAGATCACTCTCTTTGGTGAATGTGATTGGAAGCAACTTCTTATGCTTTTTGTTCGGTAGTTTAGAATATAACGTATCTCATATTTGATAAAAAATTTTAATTATTGATAAATAATATTATTTTATGTTAATTTTATTTATATTTTAAATAATTATGTTTGAATAAAAATAATTAACATATGATAAATGATTATAATTATTTGAATATAAATATATTATTATTTATAAATATCATGATTATATAAAAAATCATAATCATTTGAATAAAAATTTATATCTGTTTATTCATTATAAATAAATCTTTTGATAAAATCATTTTTATTACTTTTGATTAAAAATTTTAATGTTTTATTATATCCTAGAAGTTTAATTACTTTTAACAATATGTTTTTCACCCCTCAAAGTCAAATTTTTTTTTTATTATTTCTATTTTTTATTTATTTTTTCTAACAATTTAAAGGCAATTATGAATTTTATATCTTACATGAGAAAGATACAAGGAAAAGAAACTGGTAAAGTCGACAAAATCGACTTTTGAAACATGGAAAACTTCAATTATCCAAATAGTTTCTTAGTAAAATAAATACTAAATACAAGATAAGTTTTTGGTTATTATCTTTCTAGTTTTTATATTCTACTAAAAGAATTGATAATTAATAATTCATAAAAAATCTTGAGTCTCATTGAATTTTTTTTTTTTACTATTTTTTTACTCTTTGGATTCTGAATTAAATTATCTAATTTATAGTTATAATCTTATTGTATGTTATATGTGGATTTATTTTATCATGGCATTCAATGGTTATGAGTATAAAATGGACTTGTTAGCTTTAATTATGAATCTTTTATAGCCTTGTTATATTTTGGTAAGACCATGGTTATCGAATCAAAATGATAAAATTCTCAAGAATTATTTTAAGGTATAAAAGAAATTGTGAATTTATAGATCTTTAAAAAAAAAGCAAGTATATACTTTTTTATCATAAAATCATATTTTATGGTTCATATTCCATGATTGCATTTTAGTGACAAGAAAATAATGAATGATTCATATTATTTGATTTATATAATATTATTTTGACAAAAAATAAACATATTATCTAAGATAACTTCAATTTAATAAGAGAAATTATATAATTCTTTGTAACAAGTTAACATGCTTTCTATTTGTTGGGTGTAAAAATTTTATGTATTTTACAATTTGGACACAAAATTTATAGTATTTTATGGTTATACATGAAATTTTAACTATTTTTAATTACGTGAACCGTGGTGGATATAGCTTTAGTATTCATGATCAAATAATTTTTAAGTATCTAAAAGTTGGAATGAAAGTCTCACAAAGAGACTATGCAAAGCATGAGTTTACTAGTTTTTAGGGTGTTATACTTGATATCATATTTATTGATGCACACTCTCATATAGAGTTAAAATAAAAGTTTTAAAACTTTTATAAAAAGAAAATATTAAGATACAAAATATTTACTAGCTATCTTTTCACTAAGGATGGATTTGGAGACTTTTTACTTAAACAAAAATAACCACCAAATAGTAAAAAGATAAATGAAATGGCAACTTGATTAAACATATATGATTTCTTAATAATTGAATGAGACATTTTTTAATAAAATGCATATTTGCATATGGTGGAGGTGATAGGAATAAAAAAAATAAAAGTTACCACCATAGTATTGTAAGATTTTAATTTAATTTTATGAGCAAATTATAAAAGCTAATAAATTTAGTAAAACTTATTAAAATAAAATCATAAAGGATCCTTAAATATCTTAATTTGACTAAAATGGCTTGATTTATTTATTAAGTTTATCCAATTGTACTAGAATAATTATATTAAAAGATATAAAAATGTAGAAATAGAATGGTTGAAATTTTACATTAATGAGTATGGAATTGTGGTCACAACCAATATCAACTATTTTTTAAAATGATAAGAATGAGACAATAATGTTTAGAGCATATAAATTATATGTAAATGAAAAGTTTAGATATGTTAACTTATGAAGTGAATATATTAGATATTCAATCTCAAGTGAGAGTAATTATTATAAAAAAAAAATTGAATTACAAGATATTTGGTTTGCAGTATTACAAGTAAAATAGATTTAAACTCTTACTATTAGACACTAATAATGAGAATTTCACTTTGAATTAGTAACCTCTAATTACAAAGTTTAATAGGTAAAAAAAAAATATTGTTATGTGTTTGTTAAATACTAGCAAAATTCACTCAAATTTTAAAAACTAGTGTGAACCATTATGTGTAAAAGATAAGTTTTTATACTCTTAATATAGTTCTAAATGTCTAAAGTAACGAAAATATAATAAAAACTTTACCTATATAGATATAGAAGTTGTGCTGCTTCAATAAGAAGAATTGGGTCGTTCTTATAAATATTTATAAATAGGATAAACACATGGTTATAATAATGCTAAAGCAGTTATAGACTCATGATAGAAGAATAAATAACTATTGTGTATTATATTTTCAATTTTAACACTAAGAGTTAATGTTTAATCTGCGAATATCATTAACTTCGTTAGAATTATAAAATATATATGCTAAGTTAAAGTTTAAATTGAAAAATACCTTCTTATATTCATAATATTTATTTATGTGAAAGATTAAAAATTAAGTACTAACATTCCAAATTAGTGAGGGATTATTAATAATTTAAAATGTGATGCATCTTATATTTGATAAAAATATTTAATTATTAATAAATAAAATTAATTTTTATATTAATTTTATTCATATTTTAAATAATTATATTTAAATAAAAATAATTATTATATGACAAGTAATAATAATTATTTGAATATAAATAGACTATTATTGATAAATATTATAATTATATAAAAAATTATAATCATATGAATAAAAATTTATGGTTGTTCATTCATTTTAAATAAATTTTTTAATATAATTAATTTCACTATTTTTTATTAAAGAGTTAGAGATTTTATTATATGCATAATTACTTTTAAAAAATATTTTTCATATCTTAAAATCAAAAAAATTTATTATTTTTATTTTCTTATTTATTTTTTTCTAATACTTCTGTCGTCGAAAGAAAAATGAGCTTGAAGTCACGTTCCCATATGTTTTATATTTAAATGCACGGATGCCTGATGAGGAAAAAACATATCTTTTCGATGGTCAAAAAAGCGTGAAACCACTAAATAAACTGCTAAATAAATTTGACACATAGCCCACAGGACACCGACAATATTACAACTTTTATTTGAAACGACATATTTATATTAAATATATATATATATAACGAATTTAATGTATAAAGGAAATTATCAAAGTATCCTTAAAAACATTTATGGTTTTTAAAGGTATTTTTGTTTTGTGAAACAAGGAGAGAGATAAAACATTATTGATTATTATGTAATATGTTAATAGAGAATAAGATTTTTAATTTTAATTAATTAAAATTAATTATTTCATAATCTCGATAGAAAAGATAGAACACCGACAATGAAACATTAGTGTTTTAATGGAAACCATAATTGCATTGAATTTAGACCAATTATGGTACAACAATTATCATTTCAAAAGTTGGTTAGTCATTTAAGAATCATGATTTTGAAACCATAATTGCATTGAGTTTAGACCAATTCACCTGTTCCATCCTAACGTATCTAAAATAATATGTTTTAACTACACCATAATTGAATATAAGTATTATAATATTCTTAATATCAATATTTTTTATAATATTTATTTAAAAAATTTGCATGCAAATTTAAATATGTATTTTAGACAAATTATGTATCTAAACCATTATATTAATTTTTTTTTTTTTTCATTTTTTCTTCTTATCGTAGCGCAAAAGGCATGGAGAGAAGCTGCAACTTGCTGGGGGTAAGTAGTAGGGAAATTTGATTTTGGTCTAACCTTGGGAAGTAAGTTTAAAAGGAGTGTTAGATGGGAATGTGAGTTATAATGTCTGGCTCCAAGTCATTAAATAATTAGGAGAAGAAATTTGTGAAAGAAAAGTAATTGAAACTTCATTTACATAAATTAACAAACAGAAGAAGTTTCCCAACCAAACACATCTTCCCCTTTTGTTTATTTTTTTTAATTAGGGTTTGAGAATCATGGCTGATAAAACATCATTTTTATATGTCAATTTGAATCTTTACAGCGACCACAGCACACCAACCAAACTTCACTCCCATAACATACCTGCAAATTGTTGGTAAAAAATGTTCTAAATTATGTCTTAAACAAAGCAATCTTAAGATTCATAGCCTATGGTTTTAATTTTAGAATAATGAGCAAAACCCTAAAACTCATCAACATTTATCATACTTTATTCAGTTTCAAGTTTTTGAAATGGACCCTCAATATTGATTAATTCATTTCATGTCTTTGTTGGATGGAGGCTGATTTTGATTCATTAAATTTATTAAAGATCAACATAACTCATCAATCTTTATCCACGTTTTTATGTTTTAAATATTAACATGATTTTCCAAATTAAATTCCATAATAATTGCATGATGGGCCAGGCCTGATTCAAATTGCTTGCCCAAGACTCCGATCATTAGAATCCATTTATATTTATTTTATTTAAATTTAATATTAAAATAGTATACAAAGACTTTTATACTTTTATATGTACTTTTAAATTAAAATTAAATAAAAATAATAAATTATTCAAAATTTGAACTGAGCTTAAAAATTTGTATTGACTTAAGTGGCGATTGAATTCCACTGCATATTCGATGCAATGCAATTAAACTCCTCAAATTCAAATATCAATTCAAGTGAAATCAAATCAACATAAATTTTTCATTAAAATTTTTTTAATTACAATTACAATAATTTTTTTAATTATAATTACAATTACTTTTATTATTATTTTTAATTTTACCTCAATCAATCTCACCACCTATTCAACCTTAATAAAATCTGATGATTGGGCCTCACGAATAGCCCGACCTGTGAACGAGGCCATCAAATGAATCTGCAGGGCGGCGAGTTAAACAATTTGGATGATAAGACACAAAATTTTAAGTATTTAAGACAATATCCTCTCTTAATGGGACAAGTTATTTGTTTTCAAGGATTCTAAAATGGATGATGCACATGACACAAGTTTCTTAGGGCTTCAGGCACTGTCTGCCCGCATTGTTCAAGGATTTCAATCAACGGACCAGCATGCTGCGCATTATCTATAGTTAAAAAGCTATGCAATACGCCATCGACTGTGTCGTGCCATCCTCGTCAGAATTTGAACAAAATTATCAATTGAGAGAACAAAATCTGGAATTATTACAACAGCATACTCTCCCAAATCTGTAGACCTGATGTGGTCAGTGTCACTAATGGAGACTGCAGGTCTCGTTCTGTTGCCGCAATCCGGACTGGGAAAGAAAAAGACAACATATCAGTTACAAAATACAAACACTGGAAACAACTGGCAAAATCCTGAAAAGGAAGTAACATAACATCCATTGAATGCCTTGGTTGCAAAGCCAAGTGTCATGTACAAATATAGAAAACACAACCTAAATGGTTAATATCCAACATGCGGATAGCTTCTAAATTAAGTCTCCAACAAGAGTAAAGCTTTTAAATTGAATATTCATGCTGTTAAGGACATGAACAAAATATGATTCAGAATTTACCTGTTTTCAAACTCCATAATACTCAAGTAAGAGCTGATTGAGATGGAATAGCCCTTAAATTTGATAGCTGACACTAATTTTTGAATATTATTGTCTTTTCCAACTATGTACAGCACCTTCAAAGGTTGTGGTATTATTTGATTGCAATAAGCGTTATCCAAAGCATGAATGCCCTGAAAATAGTCATTATCTAAAACTTTAGAATATTAAATTATGGAAAACTGAAAGCAAAGTCCTTAAGGTCCAAAATAAAGATCAATGCCAAGTGAAACTATTATCATTATTCGATAAAACATTGAGACCATACAGTGTGAACATCCCTATGTTACATGATGATCCACCTTATTTTACTTCTTGCCTCCAAAAAGAAAATAAAAAATTGTGTGTGTGTGTAAGAGAGAGAGAAAGAGAGAGAGAGAGAGAGAGAAGTGCCATATCATACATATGATATGTAGAAGAGTAAGGGAGCAAAATGGTAAATAGTAACCATTACATTAATCAAAGAAAAAAAGATGATAAAAAGTGATAAATGTACACAAAACAGAAAGAAAGCATCTATGACAAATTACCAATGGGATCAGCCACTCCAGAATGATTCCCAACGTTGAGAAGGAAATCAAATGGTCTCTAAAATCTTCCTTCAAAGAAAAGGAAAGCTAATCGCAGTAAAATGTTGAATGGTCCACTGCTACACTGACTGATAGCCAATGAGTGAGAAGAACACAAAGCAGTAAAGGCACCCTTCTCTTTTTCTTGTTTTCCCAGCTTGGAGGTAAACTACAAACACAAAAGGCCCATTTAGAGAGGCAATCAGTTTAGCTCCCTTCGTATTGACAACCCTTCCAAATGAGTACCAGGTTACCTTCCCCTTCCTGATTAGCAGTACCATGTTAGACTCTCAGCCCAATCCTCACATTCAAAGCATAATCTGGCCAACTTGTAGAGAGAATAATGAAGTAAGGGCACAAGGTCATCAACTAATTTGAACATCAAGTTCAAAACCTTTAGAACCTCATCAATAGGAGAGGATTGGAGAGTATCACTGAAGCAGGAAGGCAAAGCATGAAAGTTGAGGTTCCTTCACTTTAACAAAAACTTTCTACTGAATAGGCAGAACAAGGGGATTTTCAACATATAGATTTTATCCTCTAATTCAAATTTTTTGTTTCCTTCTCTTACTTCGATAAACAGAGAGAGAGAATGGTTGCATTCAAAATCAAACCAATATAATTCACTTGCGGTCTCTATTAAGGCTTGCAGATTTGCCTGATTAAGTTTGCTTTGGCTTTAAGAAAATTTTGAGACCAAAAAAGTTTTGGCTTGTCATTTTATAAAATAAACCAAACTGAATGATAAAAGGATTTCAGCCACACAATATACTATGTCAAGCAGAATGCAAACATATTAAAAACCTACCTTCATTAACTTTTCTTCCTTTGAGGAGCACACATGTATAGACTGGATGATGCAAGCACTTTGACTGGAAACAGAATCATTGAGAGATAATCTGTAGACTAATCCTGTCAGTAGATTTTGCACAGCAGGAATAAAAGCATTACTGAAGGAATTGCTGAATACCACAGTATGGGGTTTTACAGAAATAGCCTGCCTGATGGACTTTATGGTATCAAGAAAAAAACCTCCAGAAAAAGACTCCATATCATCAATAACATATTCAAGAATTTAATTATTAGACAGTAAAAAATTTAATGATTTTAATGAAATGTATGTTTAAGGCCATTAAGATAGGTTGATAGAAACAATTTTTTTCCATAACATAAATATGAACAAATACATAGATCTCATGTAGAGGGAGAAATGTGGCAGAAAGTGTTAGGGGACTGGCAGATAGTGAATCCAAAACTTGTATCCATGTGTGACACTTTATGACATTCCAAACTGGAAAAGATATTCAAATGAGATGTAACATTAAACTTCCTATATGCAATGTGTACAACATTGAAACAAACTTGAATTACACTATTCCGCACGCACAACCATCTATGACATCATTTAAACATCTAAATATCTAGTAGAGTAGAAGAAATGTCACTAAAGAAAAAAATTGACAGGAGAAATTTCAAAAAGAGGTTAATAGACAAAACCTAGTTATATAAACGTCAATGACTATAAATATTGGCCAGTCCGTTTAAGAAACTTGTTTAAATAAATAACATAACAATTTGACCATCAAAATAAAGTAGCACATTATATGCAACAAGAGAAATTTCAAATTATATAGACAGTTTACCAGCATCAAGACCCCAGATACATCTATGGCCTTCAGAGAAACTAGCTGCAAAAGTCTCTCAGGTGTTGACACAAGAAATTCAGGTTCACAACTCTGCAGACTACAGAACAAAACCACTGAAATTGAGAAAAGAACAAAGGAAAAAAAACAACATATTAATCTTTTCCACTAGAAGATACAAAGATTTAGAGTATATTTACCCACTGATCTGATGGTCTATGGAAGCACCCGGGTGCAAACTTACTGCATATATGCCTTGACCTTTCAATGGCTTGCAGAGTGAATGTACCTGAGCATAATTAATGAAAACTTATTAAAGGAATAAATGAACAAAAGAAAGGCTTACCATATCAAAGGCATAAAAGTAATATTGTTTTAGAATAATTCAATTAGCAAAAAAAAAAAATCTATTCAAATATGATCATATTCTTGTGAGTGATCACATTTGAATTAAGGTTTTCATTTAATTGGTTTTATTTCCATTTATCTTAACAAATGGTGAAATATTAATATACTATTAAGTAATGAAACAGAAGCCATGAAACTGGTCCCTTCTATTCAATGACTTGACGTTAGCTCCTATCAAAATAGGCATATGATAGTAAATTATGTCAGGCTTCTAAAGATATCAGATAAAGATAACAGAAGAAAAGTGGTTGAAAAAACGGTCATTAACTATAAAAACCAACAAGTAACCATATAGCTGAAAAAGGATAGAGAGGATCATACAAACCTTGAGAGCTTTTTCTTTGGATGGTACAAGGAATAGAAGGAAAGGGCCAGCAACTAAAATACCTTCTATCTCTCTCCTTGAAATAACATCAGCAGCAGTTGAAGCAATCCATGCAATTTGCTCTACATCGGAAGATGATCCACTTGTCTCAAGTATATCCTTTCTGGCTGAATAACATTTCCAAAACTCAAGACCCCATGTGTTTACAAACAGAGGCTTGTCCTCTTCACTATTATAGGTACCATCATGATGCAATGCATCCTTTATTGCTTTCAGGCAAAGTATAAGATACTTTGACAGACAATCAGAACTTTCACAGGCTTGTTCCTGATGACCAAGGACATTGACCTTCTTTCCATCTGGCTGAATCTCCATTCTTCATGATTTTATATGTCTAGTTTTCCCCAAATTATTAATCAATGTAACTTGTTTGTTCTGCTCATCCTTTGAAGCCATCACCTTTTAATTTATCTTTTCCAAACTATCTACTTTCACATTATGCCTAAGAACTGATCCTTTTGTTGGAACAGCGTCCTTCCTCTTGGTTAAGATTTTCCAGTGCAGTTTTGAAGGCATAATTTTGTGGGTTTCCCTTCTACTGGCATCCTTTTTGTCAAGTCTATCATTGAAGGGATCATCAGGCGTAGGAAGGCTAAAACACATTCCCCGCATCACAACATATTAAAGTCCACTAAGCTACAAGAGAATTAGGCATCATAAACAGAAGAAAAAAATAGAAGATAGCTAAAATTTTCAAGTATTTTCATCGCTCAGGTAATCCTGAATAATCTTCTAATTTATCAAAACAGACCAAGTTGGCAATCAAATCTCATTTTCTCTCTCTGTTCATGTTTCTTCTCATATAAAAACGCTGCTCCAAGCTCCAAAGTTCAAAAGTTAATCACTATATAATTCCTTCCCAATTGCCCTTCTAAGACAAGTACGATAATAACTAATTCACAGGCCATCCTCGATACACAATGTAAGCGTCATAGGCAACCAATCCACGTCATCCACATTTAAATTCTGCCCCAAATGCCACTCAAAACCGAAATTTGAATAATTCCTACCAATAATTTCCCACTTCGGAATCAGACAATTAAATTGAAAAAAAAAAAAATCAACATTCATGAGCAATTTCTCTGTCTTCAACTTACCAAATTCTGGCCAAAAACAAAAAAAAAAATTGATATTATCATCAAATTTCCACTTACTGCCAAATTTAAAAATTACCCATCACCTAAATTTCACTCCAAAAAAAAATTTATCACCAAATTTAACCCTAAAAAAACCCAATAGGAAAAATTAATGAGAGCTAATATAAGGGTCATTAGAATACCTGACACATCCGGCGTTTACCGGATTTTCGACGCTTCTTGGCGGCGATAATGGAGGCAATTCGAGCTGATACAGTTGAAGAGTCGCTTTGCCTGTTTAGCTTCTTTCTTTGTGCTTTGGTTTTCTTTCTTCTCACTGCATCATCTCCTTTTGCCATTAAAACCACCCAAAAAATTTTCTCAAAAATGCTAACAAAATTTTAGTTTTTATTTTACAAAATTTTTAATGCTATTTTACAATTTTTTAAAATGTGAATAAAGAGCAATTTTTTGAGGAGCTTCTTTGTTAGAATGAAAATGGAAGGCCTGTACCAAAAAACAAAAAAATAGTGGGTCGGCGGCGGGTTTAAACTTTGGGCTGGGGTTTATGTGACATTTGCTGGGACGATGGTCCAGTGGCATTCTTGGATGTTTCATCGAAAGCAAAGGTTCAATTGGTAAGTAAGTGAGACATGTCTGATGGGTGAGGCATGATTGATTCGCCTTGTGTTATGTGTGACTTGGTTATATATTTATTTTATTCCCTTTGACGATATCTCAAGACAAAATAATTTTTGTCTTTCCCTGACAGACATTTGAAGTGATCACTGCTTAACAGACTTGAGCCGGTGGAGCTTGCTTTCTTGCTCTGTCTTTTTTATTTGCTAAATGCAAAATCTCCATTCATGCCTATAAAAGTCATCCTTTAAGAAATTAAACAAAGTAGAACAAAGCAGATTCTATCATCATTCATCACCATCCCTGGTCTGTTTGATAATACGAGGTTTTGGAGAATTAAACAAAGAAAAACAGAGAAATGGGAACTTTTTTTCCCAACTTCCATTCATGTATCTGAAAGAGAAATGGAAGGAGAACCCAACCCTCCTGAAATGCTTGATACTGGAGCACTGTTTGTCTTAAAAAACCCATTAATTTGTTGAGCTTTAAAACCTTCCTCCAATCACTTATTAAAATCAAGAGCGGCCATAATAATGTTGTAGGATCATGGTTACATTTTGGATACCACTTGACAACATCAATTGTAGCTCCAGCACTTTTGAGTCTTCCATATGCTTTGTCCTTGACGGGGTGGTTTGCCGGTATGTTAAGCCTGACAGTGACGGCTCTTGTTGCATTCAATGCTTATCATCTTTTGTTACTGGTTTTAGAGTACCATGCACAGCTTGGACAGCGCCAGCTTCGGTTTTGAGACATGTTGAGAGATATTTTAGGTTGGTTGAATGTTAGTATGATCAGTGACTTACAAATTGGTTTTACTTCTGCAATCCATATAACATTAATTTTGTCTACAATTTTGATGAAGACTTTTTTATCAGAATTTGCAAAAAAGAAGAATTTTGAAGATTAGATATCCTTTCAAATATTAAGGTACATTTTAATGAGTTCATGGCTGTAATTGACAGGACAGGACCAAGATGGGGCAGATACTTTGTAGTTCCAATCCAGTTTGGCTTATGCATGGTATTTGTCGGAAAAATATAAAATGTTTTCAACTTAGTAGCAGATGAATTTTCCAAAATAATTACCAAGTTCTTCAAAACAAATAGAAAATTTTCTACTGACAGTGAAAACTTCCCTATTTTTCTATTATACTTTAAACCTTTTTCCTTCAACAGGAAACTTTAGTGGATCCCTGTCCAAAGCCAGCAATAACAAGATGATAAATAGACCAGGGATGGTGATGAATGTTGATAGAATCTGTTTTGTTTTACTTTGTTCAATTTCTTGTTCTTTTTCATCCCAAGTCAACATAATGCTTTTCCATAAAGAAAATTGATATAGTGATATATTTGTTTAAAACCTTTATGTATAAGATATTATGAATCATGTTTGACTATTGTGTGATAACCAATTTTTCTTACCTTTTATTAGTTTTGAAATCTTCTACTTGAAGTCCAATAAGGATAACTTAATATCAATAAAATATCCATAATTACTCGAGCAATACCCATATATTGATTGGATTTTCTTGCAAGCTGTGCTTTCATTGAACCAGTCCAAAACAGTTTTCAACAGATTTTAAAGAGCAGACTTCAGCTTCCTTAATTTTTTTCTTTCCTTTTTCACCTCATTGGTCATTGTGTTGAAATCCTGACACTACGGCAAAGCTCTCAACTTTCGAATTATTAGGTGGTTATAATGCCTGAATCAGCAGACTGCTTAGGCCAAATATATAAATAAATCAGCTGACTGACTAAACTAATAGTAATTTTAACTTCTTATCTGTCTATATACTTTGAATCTTCAAGGATACCATGTCCATCTCGGATAGTTAGGGGATGCAGAGAGAGAGAGAGAGAGAGAGAGAGATGGGAACTTCAATTCTAAACTCCATGGATATTTCCAGAACTGATGCTGAAGGAGTTGTCATCGATTCTTCCAAAGAGCTTGATGCTGGAGCATTGTTTGTGCTCAAATCCAGAGGTAAGGAGGTTCATAGTAAAGATAGTTGTTTGATTTTCCAGCTCTTTTTTTCAACATTGATGTAATAAATTTTTATAACTTTTCATCTCGTATTATGTAAATGACTTGATAAGCCTCATTTCCTAGCAGTCATGTTACCTAATTGCCTTCCCAAGATGATTTGAACTTGAAAAAATAACCAAGGATAAAATAAAATTTTATCTTGTTTAAGTTAATATATGATTAATGATGATTAAAGACTCAGTATGATTTCTGATTACTTGAAGTGGATAACTGATGATAGGGTCCTGGTTGCACTGTGCATACCACCTGACAACAACAATTGTAGCTCCAGCTCTTCTGAGTCTTCCCTATGCTTTATCCTTGATGGGATGGTTTGCAGGCATTTTTTGTCTAATCTTGTCAGCTCTAGTTACATTTTATTCCTATAATCTTCTGTCACTGGTTTTAGAGCACTATGCACAGTTTGGGCACCGCCAGCTAAGGTTTCGGGACATGGCTAGAGATATTTTAGGTGTGTCGCATTCTACAATGTGTCTCTCATGCCTATTGACCTCAATGCTATTGACATGGATATCTCCTCCCCTCCAACCTTTGCTTCATAGATTGCCTTTACACATATTTTGATGCTATTATAAACATAGCCAATAGAGTGAAAATTTATTTTGACAGGTCCGAGATGGGGTAAATACTTTGTAGGTCCAATTCAGTTTGGTCTATGCTATGGTGCAGTTATTGCTTTAACTCTTCTTGGAGGGCAGAACCTCAAGGTTAGCTTCTCATTTCCTTGCCATCCAAGTTCTAGTTTTCTCCTTTTTAAGCAGGTATGCTATTTAGTAGAAGATATATAAAGCATCATAGTGGACCAATTAACTAATACCAAATTCAATTGGGCTTGTCACTTTTTTAAAGCAGATAAATAACCATAAAGCATGTTCTGAGTATTCAGATGCTTCTAAATCAGACCACAATGGCTTTATATCTGAGTTCTATATATACTAATTTTCAGATATTTTCTGCAGTTCATTTACTTGCTTTGTAGCTCTAAGGGAAGCATGCAACTTTACCAGTTTGTTATGCTTTGCGGTGTGCTTATTCTGGTCTTGGTGCAAGTCCCATCCTTCCATTCTCTGCGCTATATCAACTTTGTCTCCCTAGTTCTTTGCCTTGCATATAGTGCTTGTGCCACTGCTGGATCCGTATACATTGGTAACAAAATAATTAACTCTGAGAAATCTTTGCATTGATCAATCTTATGCACATAAAAAGGTTACTATGTCACAGGAAGTTCCAAGAATGCACCCACAAAGGATTATTCTGTGAAAGGAAGTAAGCAAAACCAGGTCTTTGGAGCCTTCAATGCAATTTCAATCATTGCCACAACATATGGCAATGGAATTCTCCCTGAAATCCAGGTTCTTTAATTAAACTTCTATATTTTCTTGGGGAAGACAAACATGGAAAAGAAAGAAAATCCTTGAACTTTTTAAGCACTATGACATACATACTACTATTAGCTCAAACAGAATTGAAGTTTAAACTTTTCTCAGGTTATGTAGTTGTGTGATTCTAGACTTAAAATACAACAGTTTGCATGCCATAAGAAACTTGGTTTCAAACTTAAGTCTATTTGCATAACTGCTCTGAACAGGATTGAATAGCTCCAATAACATTGTTTGCAGGCAACAGTAGAACCGCCGGTCCAGGGTAAAATGTTTAAAGGACTATGTCTGTGTTATGTTGTTGTAGTCACAACCTTTTTTAGTGTTGCAATCTCTGGATACTGGGCATTTGGTAACTCGGCACAGGGGACAGTTCTGGCTAATTTCTTGATTGATGAGAAGCCTTTGTTGCCAACTTGGGTTCTCTTGATGACCAATGTGTTCTCACTCTTGCAACTGTCAGCTGTTTGTGCGGTACGACTTGCTCAGTATTTTATTTATCACCTAGCAGTGACAAAAAACTTGGTGTAGTCTCACTCTTTTATCATGTATTGATAAATAAATGACTTGGATAAGTTTGCCTATTTACTTCAAACAAACGAGAAAGTTTATATAAGCAAAGTTCTGAATCATGTCATGTAACTTGTCCTGACTGGACTGTAAATCTTTGCAGGTTAACCTACAACTAACAAACGAAGTACTTGAGCGCAAGTTTGCTGACCCGAAAATCAATCAGTTCTCAATTCGCAATGTTGTTCCGAGGCTGATTCTTCGTTCATTATCTGTCATCATAGCCACAACTCTTGCAGCAATGTTTCCTTTCTTTGGAGACATCAATGCAGTGATTGGAGCATTTGGGTGCATACCCCTTGATTTTGTCTTGCCAATGGTTTTTTACAATGTTACTTTCAAGCCCTCCAAGCATGGACTAATCTTCTGGGGAAACTCATTGATTGCCACAATTTTTTCAGCACTAGGCTTGTTGGGAGCCATTTCCTCAATTCGGCAGATAATTATTGATGCCAATACCTACAGCTTATTTGCTAATCTGTAATCTAATTCAATGAAAATTTAGTTTCATGGAAGAAAATTACAAAATGAGAACTCTAGTTTATGCCTGAACTAATACAGATCAAATCAATATATATTTACCATTGAATTTTGAGTTTTACCAGCCTCTATATTTATGGTGTAAATTTGCACCGATGGCTATCAGGTGTCACACATATAGCTTGCAACGTGGCAATTTTTTTATTTTTTATTTTTTAAAGTTTTTGAACGTGTGAGGCCTTTTTTTTTTATGTCAAATTTTATTTTTTTTATAGGACCTACACTTTTACTTTAAATTTTTTTCATCTGATTTTTTTTTTGTTTTAATTAAGGGGCTCACTTGATTTTTTAAACATTTTTTAAAATTTTTTTAAGTTGTGGGACTCATTTTTTTTGTTATATTTTATTTTTTGATATGGGGCCAACCTTTATTTTTAATCTTTTTCTCTATTTTTTTGGGTTTTTATTGGTGGGGCTCATTTGATTTTTTTTTTAAAAAACGTGGAGTCTTTTTTTATTAATTTTTTAAGTGTTTTATCCCCTTTTTTTAATTGTTAATTTATTTTTTTAATTCGTAAGGTCCATTTGCTTTTTTTTTTTTTTAATTTTTTAAGGGTGTAGAGTCAATTTTTTTTTTTTAATTTTTGGCTGTTTGATATACGTCTTCATTTTTTTTTTTTTACAACCGATTCTTTTTTTTCTAAACTTTTTTTCCTTTTGACGGTGAGATCCATATTTTCCTTTTTTATTTAATACAAATATAATATTTATACATAATTAACATTTAATTTATTCGTGCATACAATTATCTTATACATAAATCATATATATGCATTGATATGCATTTTATGTGGAATGTCATCCATATTATTTTTTGAGGATGACAAACGTAATCTATTTAATTTTTTAAATAAATCTTTTTAAAAGGTAAAACTTACTTTCAAAATTTTTTTCTTTGAGTTTCACCTTTTTGTTTTTAAATATAAAACTTGCCTTTTTTCGTGAGAACCATTTTAAAGATTTTTTTTTATTTTTTATTTAATGTTTACGTATTTTATCATAATTCCTTTTTTAATGAGACTTATTTTTTAAAATTTTTTTCATTTAAATATTTTTTTCCCTTTTGATATCACGTGTAATTTTTTATTTTTTAAATGTTTAATAAATATTTTTTATTTTTTTGAAGGATCAACTTGATATCAAATTTGATCTATTTTTTTTCAAGGAGATTCAATAAATTTTTTCGATACTTTTTTACTTGTTTTATTTCAAAAGTATGTTTTTAGTTTCTTTTTTATTTTTAACTTTTTTTCTATTTTTTATATATTTAATAAACAAAAATTTTGATTTAAGATTTTTTTATGACTCACATGATCTCAATAGTATAGCACAAGTCAAATTACTTGATTTTTTTCTTTGTTTTTTTAATTATTTTGTATTTACTTTTTTTATTTATTTGATAAAAAAAATATTTTTTAAAAATTTAAAACTTATTTTATATTATTATTAAAAGATATTTTTTATTTATTTTTTGTTATTTTATTTTTTGCAAAAAAAAGTATTGACAAATATATTGATGTCACATCCAGATTTGATTTTTTATTTTTTTTAGATTTTTTTTTGTTTTGTGACTCACTTTTTCCCAAATATATGCCATGCTTTTTTTATTTTTTATTTTTTCTCTTATCTCTTATTTTTATTTTATATTTAATAAAATTTTTAATTAATTTAATTTTTTGTGATCCCTTTGATGCTAAAGAGTGTATTATGTATCCAATTATTTGCCTTTTTTTTTTTCATTTTAATTGTTTTAAAAAATTTTATATTTAATAAATTCTGTAAAATATTTTAAATTTCTAAAAAATGAAGTCCTTTTAGTACTATTGATTTAATGTATATTTTTATTTGATAAATTTTAAAAAAGATATTAAAGAAGTTTTTTGTCATATCGGGGGGTTTGATGTTTTGTGAATTTGTTATTTTTAAATCCTTAATATAACTTTATTTTTATTATTTTATTTTATTTTATTTTTATATATATGTATTGTATTAATAAGATTATTATTTAATATCTTAATTTAATAATTTTATTTTTTATTTTTAAAAAATTAATTTAATTAAAAAAAACATTGTTTGAGGTGTTTACATCGCAACATCATTTAGTTTTTTTTTCTTTTACTCGTTTTATTTTTTTAATGAGATAAATTTTATAACAAATGGTGTGGGTTGATAAAAATGTTAAAATAATTTGTATTCGACAAGTTTGATCTATCTTAATCAGATAAGGTTATAAGTGAGAAAAAAATTAAGAAAACTAAAAATGATTCGAAACTATATTATTCGATTCGGATTAGATCGACTCTTTTTTTTATTTAGTTTGGATCAAATTCAAATATTAAATGTATATATTAAATTTATATCAAATTTTAGATTAGAATGTAAAAATCAACAAAAAATTGAACGAACTAAATTATATATTTTGATTAATTTTATATACATTTTAATTTTTATAGAATAAAAATAATTATTTTAAATATAAATTTATTTAAATATATTAAAACAATATATAAAAAACAAAAAATTTAAATTTAAAAGCCGATGAGCCAAATTGAATTGAACTGATAAAATTTAATTCAGATCGAATTGATTTTAAAGGATAATCGGTTTAAATTTTAAAAATTCATAATATTATTGATTATTTAAAAAAATCAAATTGAATTCAATCCAATCTGAATAGTTATTATCCTTAGATAAGAGAGCAATTTTCTTTTTACATCGATGTTAAGTTAACATAAGTCTCTTTTTTGAAAAGAGATAGGAGATCGAGATGAAAATATGTTTAGAGTATTCTATTTCGATCAAGTTCGAAATGTATATAAAAATATACTTTTGTTATTATTAATTTTGTTATATATTTATATATATATATATGATACTAATAAACTAATTATTTAAAATTTTAATTTAAGAAATTAATATTTTTGATTTAATAGAAGTGTTTGTATGGTATCGTTTTATGAGGTTTTTTTTTTTTTAATTTCTTTGCTTTTTCCCTTTTTTTATTTGTTATCTTTTCATTAATTTTATTTTTTAAAATTAGATAACTTCAATGAAAATAAATAAATCCAATCAAATAAACACATTTCATGCTCATTTGTTTTTTTTTTTTTTACTTTTCACTCTTTTTATTTTTAAATTTGTTGGATTTTATAATAAAAAAACCGATTAAGCTGATACGACAAAATGAATAAAAAAAATTTTGACCGGCAGCAATGCGCGACTGTGCTAATATTTGTTATTGTATCATTGGAGATTTCTATCACCATCTAAAATAAATTTAAGGAACTATAAATAGCGCAAACCAAATGCAGAAAATTCAGCAATATGTTCAATGCGAAGGAAAAAGATTTAGTTTGTTAAAAATAAAACATAACAGATTGGAAATTTATTTTAAAAGGCTGAATCAAATAGTAATGGAATCCGGTTACTTATCATATATTTGCCTTCATTCATTTTAAAAAATCAAGTGAAAATCTGCATAACTGTTTAATGTTGGACGTTCAAGTTCAACGCTCTAGACACGGCGGGTTTAAACCGGCATATATATATATATATATATATATATATTTGCCTTCATTCATTTTAAAAAATCAAGTGAAAATCTGCATACCTGTTTAATGCTGGACGTTCAAGTTCAACGCTCTAGACACGGCGGGTTTAAACCGGCATATATATATATATATATATATATATATATATATATATTTATAGTACTTGAGACAACTTTTTTCTCATTCAGAGGGGAGAAGTTGACTGCTGACTGTAATAGCAAACTTATCGATCTCGTTGCCAATTATTAGTGGATATTGGAATATGTGGCTGCATTAAAATCCATAAACCTGGTCAAACAAGAAAAAGCTGCATCTAAAACAGATAAGGAAAGCTGCATTCTAGGTATCTACAGAGAAAAGTGTCACCCTGGAGCTGTATATATACGTATGTTTGTATGTATCATTTAATGAGTAAGTATTTTAAGGTGATGACTTGTTTATCATTAATTTTTTTGGTGAAAATTTCTGCAAAGAAGATCCAAACAAAAGGGTGCTTAGCCGGTAAACTGAGATTATTGCATCAACAAAGTATAAACTATTTCAAGCAGGCAAGATGTAGAAACATTCACTTTTTTTTTTTTTTTTATGTTTGAAATAATACAACCCAAAACCAATTGAAGTGACCCCAAAAATGCAGTGGATTAATCTAATAATGACATTCATACATCATTAGATATACATACACACTTTCATTTTCAAAATTCAAAGTTAATACATAGGACAAAGCAACTAAAAGCAATTGACAAAAAGACATGAAGAGTGTATAGTGATAAATAAAATATGATTGCCCAACATGTATTGGATTTTCCTTGGACGGGGCACATGTTTTTGAGTGCTCCAAAATTGACTTGAATTCTAATCCCTAAAAGGCTCCCCAGTCTTTTTTGTCGTCAGGTTTGACTGTTTGTGCAATCTTACATCACGGTAACAATCTTGATGCTTTTAAGTACACCAATAAACATTTTATCATCATCTTTCAAATTGCTTATTTGCAGCTACAAGTCCATTAGAAAGAGTAACTAGACAAAAAGAAGAATGGCAATTGTTGTTCCAAACTCCATTGACTTACCCTCAACTGACAAGGAAAATGGTGTTCAGTCTCCAGGAGAGCTTGATGCAGGAGCTCTATTCGTACTCAAGTCACGGGGTTAGTCACCTTCAATGAAACCTGCATGCTTAGTTTCAAAGAATTAAGTTTGATTTCCGTGAAGGGAAGTTAATGTAAAAATCTGCAATCATCTTTTGGTTGTAGGCTCTTGGTTGCACTGTGGATATCATTTGACCACATCGATTGTTGGCCCTGTAATCTTTAGTTTTCCCTTTGCTCTGTCCTTACTAGGCTGGGTGCCAGGCGTTCTGATCACAACTCTTCAAGCTCTGGTGACCTTTTACTCCTACAATCTCCTTTCTATGGTTTTGGAGCACCATGCTCAGCTTGGGAAGCGACAACTTCGGTTTAGAGACATGGCCAGAGACATTCTTGGTGAGAACAATCTTTGATGGATGTAAATCTCTTCTTCCCCAATATTTCTTCAAACATTGGATTTCAACTTGCTGCTTTACCATTTTTTAGTCATTTTCCCTAACAAATTGAGTAATTTGGCAGGACCTAGATGGGGCAAATATTTTGTTGGTCCACTTCAAATTGCAATATGCTATGGTGCTGTTATTGGGTGTACTCTTCTTGGAGGACAAAGTCTTAAGGTGAGTTTCTCCTCTCCCCCAATCAGCAAATACTCTTGTTCTACAATTGTTAGAAATACCATAACCATTAGTTTGATCTATAGCTATCATTTATGTATTCTGATATGATTTCTGCAGTTCATTTACTTGCTTTACAATCAAAGTGGGAAAATGCCGCTTTACCAGTTTATAATTATCTTTGGAGCTGTGCCACTATTCTTGGCACAAATACCATCCTTCCATTCACTAAGACATATCAACCTTGCCTCCCTACTCCTTTGCCTTGCTTACAGCGCATGCGTCACAGCTGGTTCCATACACATAGGTCAGAAATCTGAATATCTGATGCAATGAGTCTTTCCATCGACTTAAAGGAAACATATTGTGTTTATATGCGGTTATGTTGACAGGAAATTCTAAGAATGCACCTATCAAGGACTACTCTATAAAGGGATCAACAGAAAACCGTTTTCTTGGTGCTATAAATGGTATTTCAATCATTGCCACCATGTATGGTTGCGGAATTATTCCTGAAATACAGGTACTGATTTGATCTCTTTGAGTAAACATTTGCTTCTTTCGCTCTGTTGATTCTTAAAATACGGTTGGGGGTTTAAACAGAAACTCTCTTGTAGGCAACTATAGCTCCTCCAGTCAAGGGCAAGATGTTCAGAGGTTTATGCATCTGTTTTGCTGTAATAGTCAGCACATTTTTCAGTGTGGCAATCTCTGGATACTGGGCATTTGGTAATCAGTCTCAACCAACAGTTATTTCCAATTTTATGGCAGAAAAGAGGACGTTGCTGCCAGTTTGGTTTCTCCTGGTAACCAACATCTTCACTCTTATGCAACTGGTTACAATAACAGTGGTAAGAACTCTTCATTAATGGAACTCCAATTAGCTCGTCCCCAATCAAAACTAATATTAGTTTTCTAATCCCGCATTTTCTTGACTACGTTTTTCATTGGTTAGTGCAGATTTACCTGCAACCGACAAATGAACTATTTGAAAACTGGTTTGCCAACCCAAAGATGGATCAGTTCTCTGCGCGTAACGTCATGCCAAGATTGGTTTTCCGGTCACTATCAGTGATTATTGCAACTACAATTGCTGCAATGCTACCTTTCTTTGGCGACATTATGGCATTGTTTGGAGCATTTGGAGTTATTCCTCTGGATTTTATTTTACCTATGGTTTTCTACAATATCACTTTCAAGCCATCAAAAAAGGGCATAGTATTCTGGGGAAACACACTGATAGCAGTAGCATCATCAGGATTAGTAGCAATGGGAGCTGTGGCTTCGGTTAGACAGATTATTCTTGATGCCAAGAGATATAACTTGTTTGCTAACATGTAATATTAAATACTACTCATCAAGTAATGGAGAAAAACTCAACGCAACCGGTTAAACCGTGTGTTCTTGGTTTTTTCTTTGTGCTGTTGAAAGCCATCCAGGACTGTTTGGGTCGCTATGCGGCTGCAGATGTCGGTATCTAATGTGCATTTCCAACTCTTATGGAAAAGCATACTGGAAATTGTAGGTGCAATTTTGTTAGTTCTCTGCTAGTTCGTTAAGGTTAGCAGTTTTGGTTTTCCTCCTCATTGCTATTTAGTCCTCGTCAACAACCTGCATTGCTGGATTGAAAACTTAGGGGTTATAGATAAGAAGCATATCACTTATAATTCTTGCATTACAATTAACCAATTATAATTCAAAATTATGTGGGATCCATCAATATTTTACATGGCACTCACACTTATAAATGATGGACCTCTAAATAATATTTTGATCATTGATGCTTACCATAAAAAGAAGATAGAAACTCTTGCAAGGAAGCTTGCTTTAGGAATAAACATAAAGCCAATCCCAGATTTTGACTGAACATATAGGGTTGTCGCAGAGACGGGAAAGACCGTCAATAACTGTAACTGTATAATGATTTGAACAAAATGATGAAATACTGTTCATGAGGAGAAACGTTAAAACCTGAAAACAACTACGGGCAAATACAAACTTATTTCTTCCTGCTCATTCAAGCGTGGCTTGTTGATAAGGTGTCATTTGATTACAACAGCCTCATGCTCCTCACACCATGCACATAGTCCCGCATACGTGAATTACAATCCGTGTCTCTGCTTCTAATACATCATGCCACCAGAAAATCATAAGTGTTACATAAAAAACTGCGTGAATTACAATCCATGTCTCTACTTCCAATACATCACGCCACCAGAAAATTATAAGTGTTACATAAAAAACTGCATGTAATAAAAACAAGTAGCAAATTACAATCCCAAAGTTTCATCTAAGAAGGAGACATTACTCTTTCATGACTAAATGTAATAAAAACAAGGATCAAAACAGAATTATGACCCAGAACGTTCATCTAAAACAGAGGTAGTCAGTCTTCTTTCATGGTCATGCTGGGAAACACAAATCTTACATGAAAAGAGAAACTAAAAAGGTCGGATGCACAAGGAAGAACCGGTTAATGACAACAATTCTCATCAAGCGTCAAATTGGCAGTCAGGAAAGGATGTACTACTTTATTCATGTATAAGGGATACCTTCAGTAGAAAGAGATGCTATAGAGCAGCTTCCGCCGGTGCTTGTTCTCAAAAGAAGCCACAATATCATCAATTGAATCCTCCCATGACTCAGCAGCTTCAATCTAAGCATAAAATCATATGTATATATATATATAAAGTAAAAAGTGTCAAGCACAACAGGCTACTAATGAAATATCAAGCATAAAAGAACATCCAAAGCATAACATGATATGGACCTGTTCACAAAGATCTAAAGCAAGACGGGCTCCTACAGCTGCTTCCTCATGATTATCTTTAACCTCTAAGTTTATCACAAGCACACTTTTCAGGAGAACTTGATCCCGGTTGTGCAGATCTGCCATTATTAACACAATTAAGATGATGAGAAATAAAAAATATAAGGAACAAAAGGAAAAAAAAAAAAATTCTCACTGGATCAAAAAATCCTAGAGGTTATCATGGTAACTCAAGTTTCTATTTGAAATAGATTTTTTTATGGAACTTGAACTAGAATTTTGGATGTAAATAGAAAAGCATTACTTAAAAGAAGATTAGACAATTATGTTTGACAAGAAGCCAATGGACAACAACTTAGAGTAAGATGAAAGCAGAATCATCTACAATAGAGGGCTTCAATGTTACCTTCAATGATTTCTACCAACAGGTGAAAATTAAATTTACAGCTGTAAAATGTCAGACAGGAAAATTCATATGCCACAAAGCTCCAAAGAAAAAAGGCTCCATAAGCTTTATGAAAATAAAGGTAAGGAATAAAATCAAAAGGAGGAGAATTATGTTGAGGAATGGTTCATTGGAAATTGATTCACTTATCCAGCCAACAAACTATCCTAAACAATTAAAAGTTCAACTCTCCAAAATGTATTCTATTCTCAGACAAATAATGAAACAAAGTCTCCAGCAATATTAGCTCCCTTAGCCAAGAGAACTTCGTCCTGATCTACACCTTGACCACTAGGCAAATCATCTCCCCAATAACAGCATTGAAATCATGATCTATGTGACACTGGTTCACTTTCTAAAGAAATGAGAACTTCTAAGTCCTAATCTGTGTCTACCATATAATTTCCCAATAATCCTTATAACCATGGACCATACCATGCAGCCTGTTTCTTGAATGACACTTGGATAGGTTTGATAAATTTAGTGGAATAAATCATTGGTTTCTATAACACAACAAAATTGGAAATTACATTACAAAATTAAGATGGCAATGACATCATGATTTCCTATTCATTATATCATTCTCAAAGCCACTGATAGAATTGCAAAATAGCCACACACCTCAGGCATAAAAAGAGATAAATTCTTGGGAAATATAGGTTGAACAACTTCTAATACATAGCTATGATAGCCAACAAAATTTTAAACTCTGCCATTATAATTGGTAAATATGGTTGGGATTCCATGAAAAGGAACTGTCATCATAGTGCATTGGTGATTACAATAAGAATTATATACATAAGCAGTTAGAAACAAAACAAAAAAAAAAAAAGCAAGACAGAGCAAAGAACAATAAGAGATTGAGAGAAGAAATTATAGGCAAAGTCAATTAGCATAGTACAAGAGCCATTCATCTTACATAAGTTAGGGTTTTCTAAGATTAGAATCCCTTATCTTTCTGTTACCCCCTTTTTTCCCATTCTAGAAGTAAATCTTAAAAGAGAGAGAGAGCAAGATACTAACCAAAACTACATTACAAAGCAAAAATATTAGTATTTGGAATCCGGGATAGTAGAATTTCCATAATTCCTCTTTCTCCTACACTCCTTAGAGTCTCAAACAAGTGTTCAATTGAATTAACAATTAAGACTCCCTGCCTATTATTTATTTGTCACACTAATGGGTGCTCGAATACTCTGTTGTCAACGTGCCAAAGCCTTGGACTTTACTTCTTTTCTTGAATCAAGACTAGGGTTTGAGTTCAAGAAATTAATTGATTAATTTCATAAATAAAAAATCTAGTAACATTTACTCAAAACAGAAAAGCATTAAAATTTTCATATGTACTGAATAGTCTCACATAATTGATAATCTCAAGAAGAAAAAACTAATATGAAGTAGAAAAATATTATAAAAACAACAACAAACAAACCAAAAAAGAAAGAAAAAAGTGTCCGAAATTAAGGAATTGAACCTTCAATGACCATATCGAAAACCTTCTCTTCAAAGGTAAAAACAATGTCAAAGGAACCATCAGCAGCATTGTCTTGCCAACGTTGCGGTGCCAATTTCACGCTTGAGTTTCTTTTAAGCATCGGCAATATGCCATTACGCTTGTACCTGAAAGACCCATTCTTATTTTTTCAGTTTTATTAAGAATCGAAAGTAAAAAAGGCAGAGCAGAGCAGAAAGGAGAAGAGAAGATCACAGTTCGGGGTCCTTGCGGCGGAGGTCGTCGAACATGTGCTTGTAAGGGGTCCCAAACTCGTAGACGTTAGGTTCTCTGAGGGAAGGCCCAGGAAGCTTGACGTGAGCCCCCGTCCCATAGGAGGAGACGTCGAAACCATGCTTCTTGAGGAGAGAGTGGGCCTCCATGCTCCGGTTCTGGTTGGATGAGCAAACCATGGCGTACCGGAATTTCATGGTCTAATCAAATACTTTCAATTACCAATTTCGAATCGATTATAGATGAAATGGGAGCTCAACACTTCCCTCACCCCTGACCAGGAGAGCCGCCAGAATAATCAAGAAAATCCTTTGTAATGTTACTAAAATAAAAAGGTTCCGCGAAGAACTAGACCGGCCATTTTTATAATGTCGCTGGTATTTGGGTCCTCTTCCGTCATTTCATATGGATTTTTTTTTTTGTAGAAGCGGTAATTGGATGGGTTCGGACGGATTTTTTTTGTAGGTTCGGATTTTGGGCTCAAGGAATTTGTAGTTAGATAATTTTCAAATGTCCCCGAACTTTGATCTAATGATTAAGGTATTTGAAAAGGCATTAAAAATTTAATTTTAAGTTAAAATTTTTTTTATTTGTATTAAAATTTTATTCTTTTGATATAATAAAAAAAAATTTTCAAATGGAGGTGTTCAAAGGTTCGGTCGAATCTCAATTAATCATATTATATATTATCAAAATAATTAAATATTTAAAACTTTTAAATTAAATCATTAAATCATAATAAATATTTAAAATATTTAAATTTGATTTTGAAAATAGATAAAAGGGTATATGATTATTTATTTTATTTAATATTATTTAAATTGATAAGAACATATATAAATTATTATTTAAAAATTTTACTTTAAAGATTTAAAAATATCTATCTTAATTTATTTTTAAAATCTCCAATTAAATAAGTCCGATAAAAACATTTATTTAAAAAAATTGATGTAAATATGTTTAATTATTTATATTTTAAAATATTTGATATAGAATAAAACAAATAGATTTTTGCTATTCTAAGTAGTAGGAATACGACTTTCTTTATTTTTTTTTTTATTTTTTCATCTAAAACTTTTTTTTATTATTTTTTTTCTATTTTTTCTATTTTTTTAAATTATTCATTCAAAAGTATTTTTTTTATTTTTTTTTTTTAAAACTCTTTTTCCTCTTTTTTTTCTTTTCTTTTTTTAATACTTTATACTATCAATAAGAATAAAAAATGAATCTTTCCAAAAAAGAGAACTACTTTTTTGTTTCCTTGAAGAATGTGATTTATTTTTAAAAAGCTTTTCATTTTTTTTATTTTCATGTAATTTTTTGTTAATTTATATATCAGGTCTATTACTTTCACTTTAAATTATATTTTATTATGGTGATAAAATTTTTGAATTAATTTTTTTATCATTTTTTTTTTTGTAATAAATGAAAATTTTAAATCAAGAATGCATATATGTATGGAGAAGATAAATGTTGAGGGGATTGAGAAATGATTTAAAATATGATGAACTTTTTTTGGTTCGGCTTTTTAAATTATATTTTCGTCTTCAAATTTGAAATCCTATATTATTTTGATAACTTTATTATTAAATTTTAGTTACATTTTATTTTAATTATCAATTTTTTTATAATTTCATTGTGATCTATAAATAATTACTACATTTAGATTTTATGTAAATCTTTTTTTTATATAACAAACTTCTTATTTTTATCAATTAAGCAAAGTTTATGAATGAAATTAATTAAAAGCTTCGAGTCTTAAATACCTACTAATATTCTTTTTAAAAAGTTTTGTTGGTAAATTATATTTTTTTATTTTAAAAATTTTAAACTTTAAATTTATGAAATTAAAAAGCAAATAAAATATTTTAAAATTAAATATATAAATTTTATAAAAAGTAAAAAAAGAAAAAAGATACAAATACTTAGTGATAAAAACAAAATTTTGAACCAACAAAAATTCTATCCAAATTTTTAATGAATTAAATTAAATATTATTATAAAAATAAAAAGTTCAAGCATTTGCACGAATAAAAAACTAATTATTATAAATAAAAATAAATGAATTACATCAAAACAAATAAATTAATTGATAAATCAATATATAATTAAATAAATTTAACATAACATTCAATCAAAATAATCAAATTAACACTAGATTTGAATTTAAAAACTCAAGACGAACTCCATCTAATCTTCCAATTCATCTAATTCAAAGATCATCATTAAACATTACATAATCTAAGGTTTCATTTGGATTGCATTGCATCTTTAGTGTGATGCATCTGTTATAAAAAGAAATCTCAATAATGACTTTAAAATTCAAATGATATTTCGCTGCATTTTGTTTTTCGTTGATTATCCACTAGAGTTTGTAGCTTTAATTATAGGTAATAATAATTCAGACTGGAATTTTTTTTCTGGGTAATACATAAATTTATGAAATTTTAAAATTTAATTCGAATCTAAATTCGAATCGATCTAAATTAAATTCTATCAGTTAGGTTAGATTCAATAATTTTTTAAATTTAAATTTTTTTTTATATATATTGTTTTAATATGATTTTTAATATATTTAAATAAATTTATGTATAACATAGTTGTTTTTATTTTATATAAATTTAAAAAATATCTAAAAACTAATAAAAAATATATAATTTGATTTAGTTCAATTTTTTTTTTAGTTTTTAATTCCTGATATGAAATTTAATACAAACTTAATATATATATTATTTTAATATTTAAATTTAATCTAAATTGAACAAAAAAAAAAAAAAACAAATCCAATCAAACCAAACATTACGATTTTGAATTGATTTTTGATTTTTTCAATTTTTTTCTCTCATCTGACTCCAATCCACCACCATTCCACCTTAAAAAATTTTTTTTTTCAATTTTCTCCTTCAACTTAACAACTTTTTTTTATTATTTTTTCATTTTAGTTTTTTATTTAAAACTATGAAATAATTTTTGTTAATTTAAAATAAAAGTAAATTTTATTTATTAATTAATTAAAAGTAAATTTTATTATATAATAAATTAATTAATAAATAAAATTTATTATATAATAAACTAATAAATAATTTTTAATTATTTAGCAACAAAACTATTATTTGATTTAAAAACAATTTAATAAGTTTTAATTATTTATTAATTTTATAAATATTAAATAATTTAACATTTTTATTACATATAATTTTTAATCCATGCATTTAATAATTATTTTTTATTTTCATTATAAAAAATAGTTAAAAATAGAATATTTGTTAGCTTAAGTCATTTCCAATTCCGTTGGTTTTATCAATTAAATAAATTTAGTAATTTTAAATAGGACTTGTGACGTGATATAAAAAATATAAAAATAATATAATTTAAAATTTTAATAAAAATTATACATATATTTGACAAAACAAAAAAAAAAAAGTTTTATGCTTACAATATCAATATGAATTGATACATGAATTTTTTATATTTTACATATATTAGATACAGAATAAATAAAATAAAGACACATGAATTTTCATATGTGCATGTAAAGTACACTCCCAAATTCAAATGACGCTTGTTAATGTTTCATATGATTGTCCTGAAAGATAACATTAGGAGATTGTTTGGTATGGATTGATTTATATTTAATATTTATTTCATATGACTGTCCTCATAAATAGCACTAACTGTCGTCATAAATAGCACTAAGAGATTATTTGGTATGAACTGATCTGTTTAAAATTTATGATTATTTATATTTAGTAATTATTTCAACTTGTTTGGTATCAATTTAAAATTTTCATGTGATAATGATCTTAAATCATTGGAATGATAAAATCATTATCTCAAAAATTGATTTAATTTTCAACCTAAAAGATGAGAAAATTTTTTCACTATAAAAAAGTAATTTTTAATATTAGTTTTTTAACTAATTTACCTCATATAAAATACAATTAACATTTCCTCAAAATACTGACTACTAAAAAATTTTAAAAAATATTTTTTTATTGTTTATTCTAAAACAGTTTTATGTTATAATTTATATTAATTAGAAAAAAATAATAAATTTTTTAAAAAATAATTTTATCAAAATTAATTTATAATTCACAATTTTCTATAAAATAACATTTAATTATTTCATAAATTATCGATCCAATAAGTATTAAATATTTTATTTTTTTGTAAGATTATTTTAGATAATTTATACTATATGATTTATTTTTTCATATAATATTAAATACAGTAATTTAAAAATATCAATGATTTATGATATTGTATCAAATATGATAATTTAAAATCACTAATAATCAAATCACCTCAGCAATCTTATACCATGATAATTAAATTACTGTGATGATATTGAAAATGATAAATGTTACCTGATGGTTTAGAAAAGTGAAGATGGGAATGCTAGACCAAAGAAATATTCATACAAAATTCCAATCAACAAAAGGAAAATCCATGCTGTTTAGGAATTAAGGGCATAACCCAAAATTAAAAGTACGAAATCCAAAGTTGTATTTATTCGCAGCAATGTAATGATCCAAAACGAACCCAAGTTTCTAAACCATGTCTATGGAACCTTACAGCAATAACTTTAAATTATCAGTATCACGCTTGAGACAGCAGCAACGAAGTGAAGGATTATAACCCCACCTTCCCCCAAGAGAAAAATGAAAGAAGAAACTTAACCTTCTTATATCCTTTAGGGTAATAAGTTTCAAGGAATCTTCATTTCTGTCCCTGGGGAGTCTACGGTGGATGAAGAACCTTGAGCAGAAGTTTCCTCCGAAGGAGAATGAGTAAGCTTCCAAAACATAATCTGGCAAACATTCAATACAATATGATTCCTTCTGTTAATAACTAATTTTTCAATGTGCAAAATCCAACCAATTGTTTAAAACCTTTTTTATAAAGTATACCTCAAATTATTGATTAAATTTCCACATTAATAGTTCTCAACAATTAAGACTTAGTTACTCCAACTTTACTCAAAGTCACAGCAATTGTCCAAGTTCACGTGAGTGCTCTGTGTACAAAAATCTATTAAAAATCATGGTTGTAATCCAATTTTTATAAGATGTGCATAGCATGGAATTGAGTGTCAAATAGGGGAATAGGGCATAATCAAGATAAGATCACAATTCACAACATAGGAGCATAAATATCTACAGTATGTTCCTTTTTTATTCGTAATTTGTATAAGACGAGTATTTCACATTTATTATGATGAAATGGAATTTATGACTATTAATTTGTTTGTAGCATTAGATTAGTATTAGTTAATGATCCCGGCTCAATGAGTCCTTTCTTCTATAAAGTTCTAGGGGTGAAGAAAACTTCAATGTTAGCTCTAGGTATGGGGTCTTATCAAGCCACTTTATTCTTTTTTTCCTTTGTGATTTTCGTTTTTAAGAAATAAGTTTTGCTAGGTCAAAATAAAAAAAAAAATTATACATCACATGGGACAATCTAAGGTATAATGTTTATTTAAATAAAGTAGAGGTTTGTCTATTTTTTTTTTCATTCTTTTTCATGAACTACATGTCTTCTTGTAAAAAATTCTACAACTACTGATCATGCTGTATGGATTAGAATTAGAATAATCTAAAGTTCTAGTCAAATTTATTCAGACACAACATCCAAATTCCTACAGCTGTTATAATAAGTCAACACAGAAAATTAAGTCCTTACTTGAACATTAGTTGCTGCTACCAAAGGTCCAGAAACATAGCCACCAAATAAAGAATCATTTTTGCCCGTCAAAGTGATAACAACTTTATTGCCATTACTGCCACCAGAGGCTAAGGATGCGGAGACATGCCCTGCCAGGGTCACTATTCCATACGATCCCTACAAAAGAAATGAAAAAATTAAAGCCAGCCTTCATCAGAGAAGAGATATAGTGTTTTGAGGGGTAAAGAAAAAAATGTGGTATGAGAAATTAGAAGACCTCACAATGTCCAATGAAGATTGTGTATGCACATTTAGAAGAAGATAAAAGATAAAAACATAACGGCTTAAAAATTAGCAGTCATATTTCTCATTTCTCTCGTAGGCTGTAACAACATTTCATAAGAAAAGCATTGAAAAAAGATTACTGCCCAAAATATCGAAAGCAATTAAAGTTTAATGGGAAAAAAGAGGAAAGAGTTAAATTAACACAGTCTCCTATAGAATAGTCTGGATTAGAGTAAGAAGACAAAGATGAACGAAGTGCGAGAATAAAAGGCTATTCAAACACCAATGCCAAATAATGTGCAGTTACATTATGCTTATTAGCAAGAAATATTAGTATCAGCACTGATAGGAGCCATTCCATTGCATCAATTTCCAGGAAAAAATGACAGACAACATGTGGATCCTACGTTGTTTATAAGCAAAAAATATGCACCACATAGCTCCTTCTGGACCAAAAAAGAAGGGTATCAGACTGGTGACTGTTTAAAGATCAATACCGTAAAGTTCCTATTCCAATAAATACAAAGGCAATTTCTCATATTTCAAGTCTAATGTTATGCCTCCTTAAGTCAACTACACTATTCTTATGGACTAAAAGATTGACTTGGAGTACTACAAGTGCATTGTGATAAAAGGAAATCTCTTGGTAGTCATGTTAAAAGTAAGATAATTCCATTTGCTAGCCAATCACTGATTACATCAAGAAAAACTTGAAAACAGAAAATCATAAAGGTTTATCACAAAATGTTCTGTTACTAGCAATGCAGGTCTAAGCACCATGCCGTTAAGGCACGCCAGCATAAAGCGTGTAAGAAACAAATGGTAACTCAATTGAGAAATTTCACTTTCCTATCCTTTCCTTCCCATTGCCAACCCCATTCACAAAAAAAAAATAAATCTTTACTACTATTGACAGCCAGATAGAATTGACTTCAATAGAAATAAGTAATTTTGTACTATTCCTAATTATGGTTTTGAATGAAGCTGCCTTCAACATGGCATATCAAAATATAACCTTCAGCCATAAAAAACAATTCATAAATTCTTACAAGGATTTTGAAGAAAATAAGAAACATTCAAAAGCAATTAAAAGCACAAAACAAATAATGAAACATGTCATCTCTAGGACTTCACTGAAACAAAAGGTTATATAAGAAAATAACACATAAGCCATATAAATGGCACAAGGCAGAAAACAGAGAGCTGGATATGAATCAGACAAGAAGATAGTCCCAACAATGCCCTATTAAACTCTTAAAGGGGCATTAATGTTCCTAGAACTAGGCTTACCCTTAGCCAGGCCAGTGGTCCCAAATAAACCCTCTTAGGCAACAGTCCAAAATAAAATACCTCCTCACCATGAAGACTACTATAATTACAGCATAAACATTAAATCATGTCCAGTGAATCTAGGCAAACTACTACATTCCTTACACTAATCTGTCTACCTCTCCCTATTACGTATGATTAGGCTTTCCTTTGTCTCTTCCGTTCAATACAATTAAATGCATCTATTTATCCATATATGTAGGTATTTTCTTGTGCGGGTGAGAAAAAGAGAGCATTTCATAACACCTAACGTGCTATGTGCTGATTGGCCAAAAAAATGTGCCATGTGATCTATCATGAGATCAAGAGAAGAGAGAGAATTAAAAAAGAGTGTAGAAACATTACAAAAATTCCAATATCTCAGCACCAAAATCCAATCAAGACCAGTTGATAGTCTCTAGTTAGTCCGCACCAGTATTGAAGTATAACTAGTGTAGGAAGATGCCAGTAAGCTTAGCTGCTAAATTCTTTGGGGGCTGTACCAAAGAACTGAATTCGAATCCTGCCTTCTTCAGGGATGGGAGGGTTTCAGAACGGAAAGGACTATGATCCGTTGTATAGCCCAACAATTGTACCACAAAAGTTATGGCTAGAATAGGACCGCCAAATACACAAGTGCACCAACCATAGAACTTTTGGCTTGGTGGTCAACTACCCACCCTATGAGAGTGAGGGAAAAAAAGATTAGGAAGAAAAATTAGAACGAAATAGTTTTATACGCAACAAAAGTTTTGGGTTTGAGGAAGAGAGTGAAAAGAGAAGGAGGGTAAGGGTAAAACCAAGTTGGTGAACAACTAACTTTTTTTTTTTTTTGATAAGCAGTGAGCAACTGACTTATTTAAATCCTCTAAGGAACCCAAGTTGGTGTGGAACCAATTCTTTTGCCTTAATAGACTAGCATAGATAAGAATCATCATCCAATTATCTTAAGCTTATAACATTAGTATTTGAGAAATATCACTAAGAAAAGGCTATTTATTCACTCAACGAAACAATAAATAAATAAGCGAACAAAAAATTTGCTTGGTCAGGATTCATTCATTTACACCTCCACTTAACATTAACTATTCCTATGTCATAAAAGCAAACAACTATAGCATCATGTAACAAAAAAATAAAGCTCTTGATGAAAGACCATGGTGAAAAAAATTAGTTGTCAATGCGCATAAACTCAAAAGACATAAATAAGGTAAGAGAAACTACAGTGAAATGGTATGATTTCATAATTGGGAACTCACCTCATATGTCGAAGCATTACCAGAGTGAAGAATGCTAGCATGAGCAACGGATCCCACGGCAGAAACAATGTAAGCATGGCAAGAACAACTTTCACAAAATGAAGTTATTTTTGCAATTATGTCCTACAAGTATAAAAAATTGTTCTCATCATCATAACTAAACTTCATTGAATAGAAAATTAGATAAAAAAATTAAAAATTTACAATAATTCTTCCGTCGCAATGCACTATTTAATAAGTAAATAGAATTACTAACATAATTTTGTTAAAAGTAAAGTAGCCTTAAGGATCCATACTTACCTCCCCAGCATTGGCAATCATTGAACAGGGAAGAAAATTTCCCTCGGTTACATTTATATCCAAAGCCTCTGCAAATATCATAATCCATATGAGTGAAAATAATATATAAGCCTTATTAATTGTATTTAAAAAAAATAAATATAACATTTATATGCATGTCAGTAATTCAAACATCAGATTCTTTTTATTTTCGTAGTATAATCTCATTAAGAAATGAATTAAATTTGTATCATGGTTCATATTTAATCCTTATCTATATCAATATTGATTAGTCTAAGCCAGAATACGATCTACCTTGATTTGAAAAGTATTCAGTAGGTCTCTGATGGAAAGATTGAGAGATTGAAAAGTCTTCATTACAAAGGACAAATCCACTTGGAGTTCCCTTCCTCTTCCTTTTCCTTGTAATCAGCCTGTCATTTTCTTTATTCCTTTGGTCTTCATCCATGCCAAAAGGTGCAGGCAACTTACTTTCACCCTCTTCCATAAAAATCTACGTTTCTGTATTACGCAGCAGAACTATTTGGTTAAAAGAAAAACAAGAAAAGGGAAAAAAAGGAAAAAAAAGACCACATGAAATGTCTAATCACATTTACCAATAAAGAAAATCGGAAAAGATCTTAAACATCAGATTCTTCTAAATTAAAATACAACTGCATGTACTAATAGGCCATATCTAATAGCACCACCACAATTAGATATGCAGAAATGGCATTTATAGCAAAACTTGTTATCATTTACCAAAAACCGGTAATATTCCAGATTGCATTTTATTGAACTTCTATTAATAGAGCATAAGATAGGACATTATAAATTTCTCTTTCTGATATGTTTTGTTATTTAAACTGAAATACAAAAGAAGGCCACAATGAGAACATCTTACCTCTCTAATGTCAAGACAGGCAAGTGATCCGTCTTGTATTTTCAATTGGAAAAATGTCAAATGTATTTTTTTTTCCAAATCTACTTTAATCATTTGAAATTGAATACACTAAAAAATGATAGAAAGAAAAGTTGACCATGTTTAGTGAAAGACCTATAAACTCACCAACCAGCTAATATATAATAACCATATTGAAATAAAAAGGTTTAAAAGGTAGAATTCTTTACCAGCCCCATATCCGTTATGTTTTGGATTTGGATACTCTATAGTTGGTAAGAACAACTATTCTTCCAATAAACGTCAAGAAAGGCACCCCACGTCAGCATGCAGACTTTGCACCATTCACATTGCCCAAACATGGACAATTTCAGTAATTAAAGTGTGACCTGAATTCAGTAAAACAATAAGCATAAATCAGTGCCAATTAGTCATCTTGATGGTCAACATACACTGCAATTGCAGCTTATATCTCTGCATAGGTAGTGAATACAAATTCTGGCAGCTTCATATTGGCAGAAAATAATGATAAGGATTAAAAAAATGCATTAACCTAAACAACATAGAAAGGAGAATAACCATCTTTGCTAGATTGATACAATAAGAAAAGAAATGAAAAAGATTTTCCTCTGAAAAAGCACTGGTTACATAGATGGAGGTTCTCTTTCCTTCACACTTTTCCTTTGAATTAGTACTTCATTGCCGGATTTCTAAAATTTGATGTTAGGAGTACTGTTTGACATTGCTAATTAGAGTGAAAGAGCACATAGAACTTCATATAAATAATATGGCATGATTTTCTCATAACTAAACTCAACTCAACTAAACCTCAAACCAAACTAGTTGCATCAGCTAAATTGAATCCTTTTCATCCATTCCATGCAGTATTTTTTAAAAGATAATTGGATATCCGGTCCTTCCTAACTACTTAATCCCATGTAATTGTAGGTGTACTCCACCCTCTTCTTTCCTTCAACATGTATCAAAATTCAAAATAGTCTTCCATCCAAACCATATTTTCACTTTTGCGCCCCAAGTGTCCATGTCAACCTTAATTATTTCTTAGGCGGCTGTGCAAATACCCACAATTACACACAAACACACATGGCAGTGCAAATGGAGAGAGACATACATGAAATTTCTTAGGTGAAGTACGTAAAGTTCTCTACTTAACAAGATTAAATAAAAACTAAATTTGAAAATAAAAAGCAATAGATTGAAAAGTGTTGCTATATAGGTCAAGTGTGCAAATTTTGAAAAACTTTTAATAAATTTTCCTATATTTTTTAGATAGGCATTTTCAGTAAAAATGTTGACAGAATTTTTACCTTTAAATAAATATTAACAAGTTTGAATCATAAACAACATTGTTAATAATTTTTTTACATATTATTGATCTTCTTATTGAACTCTATCAATCTATCGATTTGAAATTTTTATTAAAATTTCATTAAATCATTTTTAAAAAGGAACTTCACAAACTTTACCCAAAGACCTTCATCTAAGTTTTGTCTGTGCAAATGACACCAACATTATGCATTTTCCCATCCTAGTTGCCAAAAATTAAGAAGATGCTATAATTAGAGAACACACATTCTAAACTGAAAATATCCAATTAACAAGTTTGTGCATTTTAACCAAAACTAACCAAAATTTGAACAAATGTATAGAAAAAATAATTAAAACAATAATACACCGTAATTTTCTTTATAGAACTCACATTCAATCGCGAAAATAGGTTGCTATCTGCTTTTTCCACTGACAGCAAACTCACAATAATCATAGTCTATTACTATCCAACATACTTATATAATCATTCATACGTCCAAAATTTACAGCTTTCGATCCCTACACATACAAGTAGTTTTTTCTCTAACGTTCATTGGAATTCAAAAATTCTTATAAGAATGAGTCTTCTTCAAATAAGAGGTTTAAAGAAAAGTTGAATAATAATGCCCCAATTATTACCATTTTTTTTTTCTATTTTAACGTAACTTTTACAACAAAGTTGGACATGCATTTAAAAAAAGAATTCAACAATATCTTTCATTGTTGACTGACTTTTAAGAAGAAATAATCAAATTCAAAGAGAAGAACAAACCTAAAAGAAACAATATACATTAATTCTTGAGTAACAATTTCAATGAGAATTTCAAGCATTATAAAAGAAAATTAAACTAATAGAATCGTACAATTTAAAGTGAATTACCGAAATGAAGAGAAAAATGGATGTTTGAGATTGAGAATCCTTCGATTTAACGGAGACCAGAGGGTTTCTTTTTTTGTTTTCGCGCTCTCTTTGCAGCAATTTATTAACTGACTTTTTTATAAACTTGCTTTTATAAAAAAATAAATACAAAAAAATTAATAGTAATCACGGGGTTAAATCGGTAAAACGACATGTTTCCGCGTGCTTGCCATTAATGATTGCGAGTTTGCGACGGGACTCTCACTCTCGGGATTTTGCATCTATGTCCTTAGATTTTATTCTATTCTATTATTTTACTGTTTTGCATTTTTTTTATTTTGATTTTTTGAACGTTTTACAAAAACAAAAATTTTGATTGGTCGCCATTCTATTTTAGGTTTTATTCATTTTAGTTCCTACTAAAACTAAATTTCTTTGTTATAGTTATTTCAATTAACTGATAAGGTAATAAAAATAAAACTATGCTAAAAGCCCAAAATTATTTTTTTAATTCCAATTTTCTAATATTGTTAGAAAAATAATTATTAAATTTAGTACTGTAAAAATTCCTTTTACATTTATTTGATCAATTCGCTTTGAGTAAGATAATCTTGGTTTCTTGCATTTTCATTATTAAATTGTATAAAATTAATTATTAATTTGTTGTATTGCTTACATGGATATAAAGATAATGATATCGTAATAATTGTTGTTTAAGCTTATATAAAAAAAAAAGATATTGAAGAATATATAATTTAATTTAATTAATTCATGTAATATTTTTTTATTTAATAATTTTAAATTTTAATTTCATATTTATAATTTATTCTTTTATTTTTAAATTATGATTTTTTATAAAAATTAATTTTTTTAAAAAAATTTAATGATTAAGGATTTCATGGGTGGAGAAAAAAAAATTGACAATATGAAGTATCATATTTAAGGGATTTTATTTGAAAATCATAAACAACAAAGCCTATATGACAACTTAAAAAGGTTTACAAACTTAGATGTGAAGTCAAAATCATTTTAGATAACACTGTTGTAACTTTTTGGAAAACAAGGATTAAAGTTAATCTTTTGGAGTTCAAAGGAAGCAAAAAGCAACAAGAAGTTGTTCAATCATTTCCAGCATTACTTCACTTTTTTGACTTCTTCATATCCCTTCTAATCACTGACAATTTTCATTCGTGAACATGCACATTATCATTATCTCTAAATTAATCACGAAATACTTTCTCCACACTAAGCTTTCATCATCATGGCAACCTTACCTTTTTTTTTTTTTGAAGAAACTTTATCTACTTAAAAAAATTAATATATATTTTATTTTTTAATAGATGAAATAATTTATAGTAAAAATAAAATAATAATGAATTTAAATAAGATTATCATCCTATTTACAAGATAGTTGATATATATTTATTATGTACCTATTTAATTAAGTATTTTAATTGCTCTTTTATTTGTTGTTTTTATTATTTATTTTTTGTTTTTGGAGATAGAGAGCAAAAAACATGTTTTATACAAAATCAATAATGTTTTTTTAATGAAAATTCTCTAAAAAAATAAATTGTAAGTCTTGTAAAAGTAAAATGCATGAATTTTATTTATATAAATCAATAAAAATTCATCTAGTATTGCATTTAAGTTATTTATTCATTGTTTATCATAATTAATTAATTGTACTTTCTAACTTTTTTTTCTTTATAGTAATTTTTTAAAAGAATAAAAATAAAAAAATAGTGAAATTAGTTCTTAAAATCTAACAAAATTCTATTATATTAAGGCGTAAAAGTGAGAAAACGTGTAAATCGTGTGTTGTTAGAATAAATAAGAAAAAGTAAAGGGAGTATAAAAAAATTTAATAAAAAAATGCAAACATCATAAACTTTAATGTTCACTCGGTTTCGGCTTTGGATCTCTTTTCCAATTTATTTTTGTGGAAAAACCAATTGCGGCAAAGCACACATTACCCCCATGTGGCTCTAGCCTTCACTGCATCTTTCCATCTACTTTCTCTCCTCTTTCTCTTTTTCTCTGCTCAATTTCCTTTCACATTTCCCGTTTTTCCTTTTTTTTTTTCCCTTCTCAGCTTCTGAAACTGAGTGTCCTTTTTCCACTTTATGAGATCGGTAAGGTTTTATTTTTTTACAACTTTTTTTTTTTACTTAAGTTTGCTTTGATTTTTGTCGGTTTTTCTTTCTGGGTTTTGGGTTTTGTCCTGTTTGGAATTCTGGGTTACTGTGTTTGGAATTTGGGTGGTTGAAATCTGTGGGAATTTTTTTTTCTTTTTTTTAGTATTTGGATTGTATAATTTTATTTTCTCCCTATATTTAACATGGTTACTTTTGAATTTTTTGTTTATTGATTAATCGTGATAAGCCCCTTTGTAAAATTTGACCTTTTTTTCTAATTTGGTTTTTCTCTGTAAATGACAATTGGATAGTTCAATTGACCTTTCTAGTGATTAAACTATTTTTTAAATTATTTGTGATTTTTTAAATTTTCATGTTGATGATTTAGCTTGATTAGTTTTTAATTTGATTGTTTGATCTTTAGTTGGTTTTATAATTTAAAGAAAAAAAATCTATGAAGAAGCTGAATTTCTGGGCTTGTTTTTTGATAATTCTGTTCTTCAATTGTGTTTTTATGTAGACCTTTTGGGGATAAAAAGATGGTAGCAGAGTCTTGGTTTCGTAGTCTTTGGAGAATTCCACGGAGGCATGAAGGAGTCTCTGAGAAGGTTGAAATTGGAGTATTAGCCTTTGAAGTTGCGAGCTTGATGTCTAAGCTTGTGCATCTATGGCAGTGTCTGAGTGATAAGCAGGTTATTAGGTTGAGGGAGGAGATCACAAGTTCTGTGGGAATTAAGGAGCTAGTATCCGAAGATGAAGATTACATCGGACGCCTGATATGTGCAGAAATGATTGAAAATATTACGCATGTGGCAAAGTCCGTGGCAAGGCTTGCAAAGAAATGTAGTAATCCGGGATTGAAGGGTTTTGAACCTGTCTTCACTGAGTTGGTCCAGATTGGTGCTGATCCTTATGGTTGGATGTTTTCTTCAAAGAAGATGGACAAGAAAGTGAAGAAGATGGAACGTTTCATTTCAGTGAATGCAACTTTGTATCAAGAGATGGAGCTGCTCGCCGATCTTGAGCAAACTCTAAGGAGGATGAAAAGTGGTGATACGGAGCAAGAGAATTTTCTTGAATTTCAGAAGAAGGTTATATGGAAGCAGCATGAAGTGAAGAGCCTGCGGGAGAGCTCTCTTTGGAATAGGACTTATGATTATACAATTCTCCTTTTAGTAAGATCAATATTCACAATATTTGGTAGGATCAAACATGTCTTTGGAATTGAACAAAATGTAGATGGTGGAGATTCTAGGGTGATGCATTCAGATTTTATGCATCGCAGCCAATCAGTTTCTGCCTTAATGCAATCTTCAGTTCATCCAACCGAGAATACTAGCCTTACAAGATTTTCTTCAGGCCCCTTTGGAATATTTAGCACTAAATCAGGCCCAATTCCTAAAGCAAATAAACCAAATTATTTCCATTCAGGGCCTCTTGGTGGCTCAACCACGAAATCAGGCTCTATTTCTGGAAAGAATGGAAATTTCAAATTCCATTCAGGTCCTCTTGGGAGGTCTATAGCAAGGTCAGGACCACTCTTTGGAACGGATAAAATCAGCAAGAAGATTTGGCAGACTAACAACAACCCAGCTGCTGTTAACGGAAAGAAACCGCATTTGAAAAGCAACAGATTGACTCAAGTGGGACCTTTTAAAGGATGCATGATAGCTGCTGATGGTGCTAACATAAGAAATTGTTATGCAAGTTCAAATGGCATTCATTCGGGAATTCTGAATGGAACCAAAGATGGAAATCTTAACCTTCCTGAAGGAAATGCTGTTCAAAGTAGCTCATCAGTGTTCAGATCTCAATGCAGGTTGTTGGATGCTCCGCCTGAAACTCTTGGTGCTTCTGCTTTAGCACTGCACTATGCAAATGTTATCATTGTAATCGAGAAGCTAGCAGCATCTCCTCACTTGATTGGTCATGATGCTAGAGATGATCTATACAACATGTTACCTGCAAGTGTGAGAGCTGCACTGAGGGTAAGGATAAAACCTTATGCAAAGAGCTTAGCTTCATCAGTTTATGATACAGAGCTTGCAGGAGAATGGACTGAGGCAATGTCTTCCATATTAGAGTGGTTGGCACCACTAGCTCATAACATGATCAGATGGCAATCTGAGCGGAGTTTCGAACAGCAGAACTTTTTATCCAGGACTAATGTGCTTCTGGTGCAGACTCTCTATTTTGCAAACCGGGAAAAGACAGAAGCAGCAATCACCGAGATTCTTGTTGGTCTGAATTATGTCTGGAGACTCGGTAGAGAACTCAATGCAAAGGCTCTGCAGGAATGTGCTAGCAGTAGAATCTTTGATGAATGTATGGATCTAGAGAAATAAAATTCTTTAACCTCAGTTGCAGTATCTCCACAGATGAATGCTGTTAGGTTGAATGTTTGCAAGATTTCATTTCGGCCAGCTATGGAGTCTCCTTTGTTCTATTTGCCATCATTGACTGAAGATGAAGGAACGATCCAACCTACTGTGAAATACAGCAAAAGCAGTCTTTGTGAATCAGAGGTATAGTTTGAGCTTTACAATCATATATTTTATATTTTCTTTTGCGGAAGTGCTGGTGATCTTTTCCTAGTTTTGAAGATTGTTACTTTATTGTCTTCCGCTTATTACACTTTTCTAGTGAAGCAGTCATCCATGAAATGTGTATATTATTTAGCGATACCCTTTCAAATCAGTTGTATATTTACTATATAGGTTTATTCATAGATTTATATGTTGTGGGTGCCTCTCTGTTGGGTGTGCTTTTATCTGGCAATCAACGTTTGATGCGACAACATCGAGTTTTGCACTCCTTGATAACTGAAGCAGATATAACCAGGTTGCTTGGCCAGAATTCGAGGTTGAATATCACCTTTTTCAGGGTAGCATCTTACAGCCAGCTATGACATTGCAGTGAGGTTGCTTTGATTCTTTTTGTTAAATGATCTCGCATGGTACCATTGGTATGGGTTGCTGAATGTAATGTTTGGTGAAGAGCTTTTAGCAGGATTTTGTCTGGACAAACCTTAATATATAAGAGATTGGGGAAATCTTGCAGTCATATGCAAAATTCAATGACTGGACTGAAACTGATGCACATGGTAGCTGATAAAACATTAGCACGATCAGCACGATTGTATTGCTTCAGGAAGAGATGTTCTCAGAGAAGATTCATTGGTTGCTCCTTTGTTTTTCCTCTATATACCATTGTTTTTCCTAGATATCAGTTTATCATAATTCTAGTCTTCATTAGGGCAGATGCAACTGATGCATTTAACTTAAACATCAACTGCCATTTTTTCTGCCTTAAGTTCTTTAGACGCGCAATATTGGAGTAGAGAAATGCCGAGTGTAAAAAGTATTAGTCCGCACTCCGCATAGTTGGAAACCCGAAGGGTGCATCGGCCTTAAGCGTCGTCGATCCTAAAATTGGTCCATGATTGAAATTTTTCACAACTGACCCTGCGGTCTTAACTTCAAGATCAGCCGCACGGACCGGACCAAAATCATGGGTTGTTTGATGAATGCGTGAGTTTAATTTAAAAATATAATGCGAATAAAAAATGAAAGTAATATTATTTAAAATTTTAATAATAATTATATATGATTAAATAAAAATAAAAATATATATTTGATATTTTTTTTATTAATATGAATTTTGAATCGTAATTTTTATATGAAATATTATGTAAATATATAAATTTTAATAGTTTATACAAATATACAAATGTTAAGTGTTGGATTATAGATTTTTTTTAAATTTTTACAGAATATTAATAAATTTTTATTTTTTACGAATTGTTTTAAATTACAAAACTTTTTATAGACAATACCTAATTAAAAAATAAAAAAAGACTAAAGGAGATTTTTTTACTAACTATAATGTGAAATAATTCGATTTTTTAATTTTTAATTTTTATTAATATAATGTTGCATCATTTTTTTTATTTGACCTTTCTTTTCATTGTCACGTCAGTTTAAAGATTTTCTGAACTATAAAATAATTTTTAATGAAATATTCAGTGAAATATTTTTTAATTTTTAGAACTTAATCAAATTTATTTTAAAATTAGAAAGAAGACAATGAATTTGTTTTAAAATTAAAAGTATGAGAATAAAGTAACATCAAATAAAAAATTAATATTAAATTTGCATGACTTACAAAAGTAGGGATGGCATTCCAATTTTATCCCGACGAATTTTGATCCGATCTTATTTTATGGGATCGATTTTTTTTTTAAAATTTAGGTTTCGAATCGGATCGAATTTGAGTTTTAACAAATCCGACACGATTCGATCCGATATTATATAAAAAAATTATTTTTAATTAATTATTTAATTTTTTATTTATATATATATATATATTTATATAATGATATTTTTAAATATTTATTTTAAAAAATAATATTTTATATTTTAAAAAATAATATTTTATTAATTTTGAGTCGAATACGATTTATATAGTATCAGATCAAGATTAAATTCGGATATAAAAAAAAAATTTTTAGATAAAATCAAATTCGAATTTAACACAACAAAAAATCGAACCAAATTCAGACGAACCCGGCCCGCGAACCTTATACAAAAAGTAAAATGATAAACATTTTACTTTACCGTATGTTTTGAATGTAAGTTTTGTAATACATATTTGTTTTGTTGGGTCCAAATCCAATCATCACATCATCATTAACTAACGCATTCCTTGGCGTGGCGAAAAGACGAAAACATTTCCCATCCGTTCCCGAAGTGTCTTTCCCTTTCTTTCTCTCTCTCCAAACAAAAACTTTCAAGAACTAGTGTAATTAAAGAAAAAGAAAAAAAGAAAGAGAGGAGGAAATTGGAGTCAATAATCGACGGGCATGGCTGCACCGGGGCCGCGGCGATCGGTCTCCGTCAGAAGCCTTTCTGACGGTTGCGAAAGTTTGGAGGGTGCTGGTAGCTGGGACGCCCTCGAGTGGACCAAAAATGAGGTTTTTCTTTGAATATATTTTTTGAATTCTAGGGTTATCTTTTTTTAATTAATTTATCATTTTTATAAAAAGAATTAACAAATTATTAACAAAAATTTCAATTGTAGCCGGTTACGAGGCCGGTTTCGCATGTCAATTTGGAGTTTTTGCTTGAAGCTGAGCGAGTTGTAGAGGAGGTACTTATGAATTTTTTTTCTTTTATTTTTTACTTCCTTAGATTAATAGAATTCTTGAAATCATGGGCGCAATTTGTAACTTAGATCACGAATTATTATTTTGATTGAAATTAGAAATTCAAAGATTTTTAATTCAATATTAAAGCAGTAGAGCAGTTCGAGAATCTTGAATCTTCCTCTCCTTTTGTTATGTTCTTGACTAGTAGGCGAATTCTGTTAAGATAAAGATTCTTTTTTTTTTTCCTTTTTAAATGTTATGAATAGCATATCTAAAAGTAATGGCATCTTGGAATTTACCTTTTTCAGGGCCATGGCGTTGTTCTTGTTAATACTGATAAGGCTGGAACCTTGTTTGGAACCTTGTTTGTTACCAACTTTCGTCTTCTCTTTCTTGTGAGTCATTCGCCTTATGACATTTAGTATTTGGTAAACTGTTGCCATCTTGCATTATTTGGCCAACGTATGCCTGCATTGTGTTATCATGTTTGTTGAGTAAAGTGATTCAGAGTAGCAGGACAGAACTTGAAATTGATGACATTCGCACATAGGATTATAGAAAATTATTTCTAAGCACCTAATAACTTGGTTACTTGATATTCTAAGCGATGGAGTTCAACCTGCAGTTTTTTAAGGCAAATGGTTCTAATTTGATGTATTTCTAAGAACTATACTTTTTGTTTTAGATTGATATCACCATTAAGATTGGAAATCAAATGAATTCACTGTACTGTCTGCTTTGACATTAGTATCAGTATGGATACCATTAGTCTCACAATCTAATATGCTTAGTGCTCTATAAGATGCTATGGTTGTATATGAAATTATTCTGCTTGATGGGTGTTAATGTTGAGAAAGTGAAGACTTCTTAACAGAGATGAGATAAGAAAGAGACAAAAAGCATTTAAAAAAAAAAAAAAAGAGAAGTCATTGGTATTAGAAGAGATGAGAATTATAATAGTGCTCAAATGAGTTAATAATGATGATAATGGACAGGATATTACTTGGGTGTGGGGCTTCATGCTTTCTGTTGCATTTTGCAAAACTTCAATGACATCGCTATTCACAAATCTCTTTTTTATGTACGTGTTAGTAGTACATGTATTTATTCATTCCTGTAGTACATGTATTTATTCATCCCTATTACAACTTCAATGTAATTGGTCAATTTTCCCCCTTTTCTGAAGAGTGACAGAACCAGAAATATTGTTCCACTAGGTACCATTCCGCTGGCAACAATTGAGAAATTCAACAAAATGGTAAGTTATTGTTTGTTGTTAAGCCTTGAGATAGGGGCTTTGCATTAGGTGGAGATGCTCAACTTGATATACTTCACAACAACTTCAAAACTTAATAGATGTGGATAACACCACTTGACAAGCTACATAAATAAAGTTTGTTGGAATGAATCTAAGTGGGATTTGTACCAGTATTGGGAAAAAGAAAAAAAAAAAAAGCCATTTGATGAAAATCTTCAATCATTTGTGAGATAATTGAGCAGTAAGTTCAATTGAGTGATTTTACACGGGTCTTACACACATATTAGGTCAAGTATATGCTGGAAGTTATCTTTTGTTACTCTATGGATGCCTGTGCAGTGTTTAGGTTCTTGTGATCCAAGAGCAACTATGTTGTTATCTGCATTCTGTTATGTGAGCTTGATTAACCAATTTGGCTCATGATACTTGGTAGCGTCTTAAGCTGAAAGGTCTCGCACCTATTTCCATAAGATGCCTATACGTCCAATAGCAGTCTGTACAGAAAAAAGAAAAGAAAGACATGCAATAACATAGAAAGTGTTTTAGTCCTTAATTCTTGCATGATATTATTCTTTATACAGGTTTGATACACACATACATGGCATTCTTTTTGTTTTCTGACCGTTGAATATTAGTACCCATTTAGTGTTCTACATTTCTTCTAGTGGATAATTTTGATACTTTTTTTTTGGCCCGAATATTTGTAGGTAGTGAAGATTCAATCAGCTCCTCGCCAAACTGACAAGTCTTCATCACGTCGTCTTCTTCAGATCATAGGTATTTTATGAATCTCTTTTAATGACATTTTTCATTAATTTTGCATTTGGATGAGTATACTTATTCATTGGGATAAGTGGAGTTGGTTGCATTTCTGTAATTAGCATCTACATGAATTTTTTCAGTCACTTGTATCTCAAGTGGGTAGGCTTGCAGAGCAAAGCAAAAGTGCCAAAATAGTAAACATGATGCACAAGGTTGTTGAAAGAGAATTGTTTAAAATACAGATTAGATATCATTTCTTCCCCCCCTTAGAATATGTTTGAAAATTTGAATTTTGAAGGGACATGGGACTAAAAAAAATGGAAGGGGCTAGAGAAATGGAGAGGGAGAGAGTAGAGGCAACAATTAGGCTTTACCTTTGTTTGCTGAAGGGAGTAAGGGTAGAATTTAATGCTTTTATACACCAATTTGGAACTAATGTTATAACAGATTTTATAGGGTGAAAAAATTTATCGGTAAAAAACTAATTTCAAGTCCCCAAGTTTGATTGAGTTTAGAGAACTGATGTTTTAGAGGAGTTATGGGAATTTGGTTCATACCTAAATTCTCTTTAGTAGAACCCCTAACATTCTTGCAGAAGATCCCTTTAGTTTTCCCTTAAAGAAACTCTTAGAAAGTAACTTAACAGTCTTGTTGGAACTATGGAAACTGAATGTATATTGAAAAACTGCTTATACTGAATTATACAAGAATCTTAGGTTTATATACAACTAACTAGGGGTTAAACTAGGAAACTAAATCTTCCTTAATTCTAGGGATACAAATACTTAATTCTAGAGATACAAATATAAATATACAGATTACAAGATTAACCAGCTGTAATTAAGTGTTTTACCAACACTCCCCTCAAGCTGGTGAATAGGTGTTTTCCATTTCCGTTTGGAACATAATTCCTTGAAATGTTGCACTGCTGAGACCTTTAGTCAACACATTTGCAAATTGACGCCTTGGTTGATACATAAGGTGTACAAATCAACCCCACTGTCTAGTTTCTCCTTTATGAAATGCCGGTCTACTTCAATGTGTTTTGTTCTGTCATGTTGTACAGGATTGTGTGCAATGCTTATTGCAGACTTGTTATCACAGTAGAGTCTCATTGGTCCATCCCACTTGATCTTCAAGTCTTCTAAGATAATCTTTAACCATAGTAGTTCACAAATTCCTTGAGCCATTGCTCTGAACTCTGCTTCAGCACTTGATCTTGCCACCACATTCTGTTTTTTACTCCTCCAAGTCACAAGATTACCACCTAAGAAAGTACAGTAGCCTGAGGTGGATCTTCTATCAGTTACTGAACCTGCATAATCAGCATCTGTATATGCTTCTAGAACTAACCCCGAATTTCTTTTGAATAAGATACCTCTCCCAGGATTGGCCTTCAAATAGTGCAATATACGGTAGACAGCCTGTAGGTGCACTTCTTTAGGACTATGCATAAATTGACTTACCACACTCACAGCATATGCTATATCAGGTCTAGTATGTGAGAGATAAATGAGTCTTCCAACTAATCTTTGGTACATCTCTCTATTTACAGCAGCATCTTCATTAGCTTCTCCAATTTTATGATTAGGATCTATAGGGGTATTTGCAGGTTTACATGCAAGCTTCCCAGTTTCCTTCAGAAGATCCATCACATATTTCTGTTGTGAGATAAAAATACCATGCCGTGAGTGAGCTACTTCAATTCCTAGGAAGTACTTCAATCTCCCTAGCTCTTTTATCTCAAATTCTCTAGCCAAACACTATTTTAGAGATTCTCTGTCTTTTTCATCATCTCTAGTTACAATTATATCATCAACATACACTAATAGAACTGTGACTCTCCCTGAATCAGAGTGCTTGATAAACAATGTGTGATCTCCTTGACTCTGTTTATATCCCATTGCTAACATTACTTTGGCAAATCTCTCGAACCAAGCTCTAGGAGACTGTTTAAGGCCATATAAAGCCTTATTTAGCCTGCATACTTTGTTTGCTTCTAGATGACCTCTAAATCCCGGTGGAACCTTCATATATATTTCTTCTTCCAAATCACCATGTAGAAAAGCATTCTTTACATCAAATTGTTGAAGCTGCCAATTGTAATTTGCAGCCAATGATAACAAAATCCTAACTGTATTCATCTTGGCAATTGGAGCAAAGGTTTCCTGGTAATCCACTCCATAGGTTTGAGTGTAGCCCTTAGCCACTAACCTGGCTTTATACCTTTCAACAGTACCATCTGCCTTGTATTTTACAGTGAAAACCCATTTACACCCCACTAAATTTTTTCCTTTAGGCAACTCTACCAGTTCCCATGTCTGATTTTTCTCTAAGGCCTCCATTTCTATTTTCATGGCTTGCCTCCATTTCTCATTGGATAATGCCTCGGATAATGTAGTTGGAACAGAAATAGTGTTTAGACTCACAAGAAAATTTTTGTGGGATGGTGAGAATTTTTCAAATGACACAAAATTAGATATTGGGTATAGTGGATGCTTGGTACATTCTCTGGTTCCTTTCCTAATGGCAATAGGTAAATCATAATCACTAGTTATAGTTTTAGGAGATTCATGCCCATTTTGAGAAACAGAGTCAAAAACTGTAGTTACCTCATTTCCAGAGTTAGGATCAGGTTCTTGGACTGGCACTGGTTCAGGATCTGGAACTTTCCTTCTTGAGTACACCTGTAATTCCTTCATAGAATCAAGAACAATATTATCCTTTGTCACATCTTCCGTATTTGGAATGGGTTCAGACTCAAATTCAGTGTTTGACTTGGGCTCAGCAGAAACAGGTTTCAACTCAGAAGAATTAATGGGTGTAAATGTTGAAGAAGGGGGCAAATCAAGCAAAAAGAAGTCTTTATCCTTATCTTCCATGAATGAAGTCTCCCTCTGAAGATAAGGTTGAGTAAAAAATGGTTTATTTTCTTCAAAAGTGACATCTGCCGACACATAGAATTTTTTGGTAGGAGGATAATAGCACTTATATCCTTTTTGAGTTGAAGAATACCCCACAAAAATACACTTAATCGCTCTTGGATCCAACTTTCCCCTATTATGACTGTGAACATGAACAAATGATGTACAACCAAATATCCTAGTTGTGAGATTGTTTGTGATATTGAGGTTGGGATAAAATTATGAGAGTAGTTCCATAGGAGTTTTAAATCCTAAAACTCTTGAAGGTAACCTATTTATAATGTGTGTGGCAGTGAGAACAGCTTCCCCCCAATAAGATTTAGGTACATTTGCTTGAAAAAGAAAGGCTCGGGTTGTGGCTAGTAAATGACTGTTTTTCCTCTCTGCCATTCCATTCTGCTGTGGAGTATTAACACAAGATGACTCATGGATAATCCCTCTTTTTGGAAATAGGTAGATAGACTCTGGTTGAAGTAGTTCTTGCATTATCAGACCTAAATCTCTTGATTCTCACTCCAAATTGATTTTGGATCATGTTTTGGAAGCTTAAAAACACACTATTCACATCTGATTTGTATTTAAGTAAAAAAACCCAAGACACCCTAGTACAATCATCTATGAATGAAACAAACCATCTCGCACCAGAAATATTAGGAATTGTATAGGGACCCCAAATGTCACTATGAATCAAGTAAAAGGGAGTAGAACTTCTTTTGTTACTGATTGGAAAAGACACACGTCTATGTTTTGCAAATTCACAAATATCACAATGAAAATCTTCAACATTTAATCCTTTGAACAAAGAAGGAAACATGTTTCTCAAGGTTCCAAAAGAAGGATGTCCAAGACGAAAATGATAAAGCCAAATTTTGTCTTTATTGGAAGATTTTTCAGAAAGAAATGACAAATGTAAACTATTTTTGATACTACTTGTGTTATTTGAGGTCTCAAGATAGTATAGTCCATCCTTCTCCTTAGCAAGTCCAATCATCTTCCCCGAACTCTGGTTCTGAAATTCACAATAAGAGGGATAAAAAGTTACTTTGCAATTCATATCTCTGGTAAGTTTTTGTATAGATATCAGATTAATAGACAATCCAGGAACATGAAGAACATTTTTGAGAACAAACGAGGGATTAACTTGAACATCTCCTAATCCTGCCACTGTGGTAAGTGAACCATCAGCAATAACAATTTTCTTATTACTAGGACACAGGTTATATGTACTAAACTTTTGTGAGGAATGTGTCATGTGGTCTGTGGCTCCTGAGTCAATGACCCAAGAACTCGTAATAGGCTTAGCCGAGACATTTAATCCATGAGAACCGGAAGCTTTACCTGAACTAGAAACTTTACCCAAAAACATACCACAGTGGGCTTTTCAAGGATTTTCAATAAGTTTCTCAGCTTTTCAATCTCTTCCCTGTTGAACTCTCCTTGTTTTTGAGACATCTGTAGTACTCTAGTGATTTTCCCAGTTAACATTTTCCCAAATTGGGTGGTAGTGATATCTTTTTTGAAAGGGTTGGCAGAGGCTAACAGGATCGCAAAGGCCTAAAAAAGTCGGCAATGAAGGCTGAAAATTTTGCTTCCCAAGAAGAGCCTAAAGCTCTGATACCATGTGAAAACTGAACGTATATTGAAAAACTGCTTATACTGAATTATACAAGAATCTTAGGTTTATATACAACTAACTAGGGGTTAAACTAGGAAACTAAATCTTCCTTAATTCTAGGGATACAAATACTTAATTCTAGAGATACAAATATAAATATACAGATTACAAGATTACAACCAGCTGTAAATAAGTGTTTTCCCACAGGAACTAGTCCAAGAAAGCAGATAAGTGCCATCAAAATGACAAAATATGGTTTTATGGGATTGTAAGGTCCACCTTTCCGGTTCCTATACTCCTGCTAGGGCTTTGAATTAGGTACAAACGTTCTGCCAGAAATAATCTTATCATAATCTACCTTCTTATTTAGCATTTACTGTGTACAAACTACAAAACCTTCTTTCCCCTTTTGAAGCTCTTTTGTCCACATTCACTTGTTTGATTCTGATTTATTGTAGTAATGAATTAAATATTTAGTCTATATGGGAATTATTGTATTTCCAATTGCAGCTGTTATAGATTTATCATGTCTTTAAGATATTGTGGTAGCTCCTCATTTTTATACTGTGTATGCTCTTCTTAACACTTTTCCTTACGTAGGTGACGAAACTGAATCACTGAAATGTATTTAGGGCTAATCGGAGTACAAGGCTAATTTTTACAGAATAAAATATCTATAAAACCAATGGCATCCTATACTTAAATGAAACTCTGCACATTGAACCAAATTAGTTTGATATTCTGAAAGTTAGTTGCCATTAATTTAATTTTCTAGTCATTGTTTTATTATGTTCATATTAGATTTTCCTTGACTTTTTTTATTTCAAATACTAGAAAATTTTAATTATTATATTTAACCTAAACAACTGTCCTTGTGTATTGGTTACATTGTTTCAGTTGATACTGTAAGGGCAAGAGCAATTCTGTTCTCACTAACATAAGGAAGTGGAAGGACCCAAACGGAACAGAACAGTGGCTAAAATTGATGTAGAAGTTGCAAGAAGACAATAGGTTTTAGGGTTGTGGACGTAGAATTGGAGTGAGCTTTCATTGGATTTGAATGGCTAAGATTAGATAGGGATTACTTGTAATCAAGGGCACTAGGCTTTGAGTTGCTGTACCCTAGTATAAATAGTCTTTGAAGCTTATTGTGAGGAGGCTGTCTTATTCTAATATAATCTGTTAATGGTTCATAACCCGCAAAATTAACAACAATGCTAATTTAATATCTTATAATGCGGTTATTTTTATTTGTTATGCGATCAAGTTTCTATTTGCTTGGAGTCGTAGACACCGCCTTGTTAGTTTTCTGTTTAATTGGTATGGAACTAGTGATAGACCCTAATGACTTCTCTTCCTTTTGCAGGAAAAGATATGAGAATTATTGTGTTTGGTTTTCGCCCTCAAACAAAGCAGGTCAGTTTTAGCTGTCAATTCTTTGGGCTCCTTATATTTTCTTACTATTTTTTTAATTAATTAATTAATTTGTTTTTGTACTTGGGCTTTGGGCTCAATCCTAGATGCTTACATCCCTCTACTCAAAGAGCTCCATTTGATTCTAACCTTCCCAAATTCCCCAAAAAAGGAAGAAATAATTTGGTTTCTTTAATCATGCATATTTGCATTTGTCATAGCAATGAAGACTTGAAAGAATTTGCTGTTTAGTGTTGTTAAATGAAATTAAAAACGGGAAAAGGTGCAATTTCTGCTAAGCTGTGGGCGGCTCTAGGATTATTTAGACTTCAGGTAGGAGACAAACCATACCTTGTTCTCCAAGACTACAGCACTGCTGCTTTATATCTCCCTAAATGTATTTGTTTATTTCAGTCATTTATAAGTTTTGTTCTTTTTTTTTTTCTCTTCTTTTCTTTTCTTTTCGAGGTGAGATAATGCATTACCCTCAATTACATTTTGATCTTATATTCAATGGAAATAAATATGCAGAATTGAGTAGCAAGGGCTGAGTCCGTGAAAGTTTCTTCTAGGCATAACTTGGTGATTTATCCTCTTATAAAAAGGAAATTTTTGTTTTAACTTCTTGGAAAGATAAATACTTGTAATGCTAGTGTGTGAAGGAAGTTTTAACTTCCAAATTTATTATTTTACATTATGGTTTATTTGGAAAAGAAAAGTTGTAAAACTATTCTATTCTTTGACATAATGGCTCATAGTTCTAAGTAATTAATATGAAGAAATTAATGTCGTTGTAATTTTTTATCCATGTAGAGACGTGTTATATTTGATGCATTATCAAGATGTACAAACCCAGCTAGAATTTGGGATCTTTATGCATTTACTTGTGGACCTTCCAAATTCAGTAACCCAAACCCAAAGGTGCGATTACTGAATGAGTACTTTCGCCTTCTTGGAAAAGGCTTCCATCGTGCATCAATGAGTATGATTGAAGATGGGTCATTTGCATTGTCTAATGATTTGTGGAGAATAAGTGACACAAATTCCAACTATACAATGTGCCAGAGTTATCCATTTGCATTGATTGTTCCAAAAAATATTAGGTAAGACATTGAGATCTTTTGAGATAGTGAGAGGAAGAAGGAAAAAGAAACTAGATCCAGTTCTTTCCTCATTTTCACTTTTGAATCACATCAATTGTGGATAAGGCTGATTTCATATTTTTGCTAGAGCTAAGAAACTAATTTTTATGCATGGTTACTAATGCTAGTGATGAAGAAGTGATCCAAGCTTCAACTTTTCGTGCAAGGTGTAGGATACCTGTAATTTCTTGGTGTCACCCTGGTACGCAACAGATTTAATATTGTGTGTGTGTGTGTGTTTTTTTTTTTTTTCAATGATATATGTCTGTACTTACTTTGTGGTATGCACTGTGAATAACAGGAACTGGAGGAGTTCTTGCACGTTCATCACAACCTTTAGTTGGTCTTATGATGAATATGAGGAGGTATTCCTAAGTTCTCAATTAATCCCAAAGCCCTTTGGTGAAAAATAAATTTGATATATATATATATATATATATTGCATAATAAAGTTTCATAAGAAAATGATGCCAGATAAAAATGATGTCAGTGGCAAACATATTATTTGTTTTTCTTTCGAGGCTCAGAATATGGAGCATCTGATTAGTCCTTTTTATGATTCTGCTGTAGCAATGCTGATGAAAAGTTGGTTGCTGAACTTTGCACTCAACTTGTTGATGAAAAGGGTTCAAGGAGGTATTCCTTTTTGTTCATTCTTGTATGATTTCATAGGTTGTTTTTCCTTATCATAAGTATCAGCATCTACTTCCTAATTTTAAGCTGCTCCTGGAATAAGAGTTGCATATCAATTATCAAATTAAAATGTGGTTATGTATTTTACATTCCACCAGATTTTACAATGATGAGCTCATTTCATCATCACATGGGAGCTTGCTCACAGAAAAAGCTTCTCATTGTTTTTGAGGAACCAGTTTCTTTTATTTTGTTGGAAATGCCTTAATAATGTACATAATTTTTCAACTTTTAATGTTGTGTTTCTATTTTGCTGTTAGTTAAATAGGATGAAAGTAATGTTCTTATAGGAACCGCTGAGTTACCTTTATTTTCATATTATTCTTTTTGCCAATTCAGGAAGCTATATATTGCCGATGCGAGACCTAGAAAAAATGCATTGGCAAATGGAGCAATGGGAGGGGGCTCAGAGTCATCTTCAAATTATTTTCAATCTGAGGTCTGTCTAAGGTTTGAGCTAGGAAGTTATGCAACTCTGGCTCATGAAATTTGGCATTATAGTTTTTAGTGACCTCATTTTCTTTTATCCTCCTTGCCAGATAGTTTTCTTTGGGATAGACAACATACATGCGATGAGAGAAAGTTTTGCACGGCTTAGAGACTATTTGGATACTCATGGTGCTGCATCATCAGATGGAATGTCATCATTCTTGGTTAGTCCTACAGTCCTATTCCTACGAAGATCTTGATCAATTACTATTGTTAACATGCATCAACAAAATCTTTTCAGACTGGAAGTGGATTTCGAGAGAATATGATGATATTTGGTGCATTATGTTGGCAAAAATTTGTAAAAGCATTAATGTGCATAGACCTTCTTGCTAAAGAAATCATATAGACTAGCAATTTTTTTTTTCATCAATAAAAAGCTAGCTGATAATTCCTTTATCTAAATTCCAAGGGTATACTATTATATTCTAAACTTGATTTCCCCTTTTTAGGAATGGATCTATTCAATGATTCATTGTGTTGAGCTGTAGTTTGTAGTATTTTGAATATGAATCTGTTAGTTTGCTAGGTCATTCCCAGTGTCTACTGGTCATTCAGCGGTTTTAGGGCCTCAGAAGTTAGTATTTATCAAGCATATATGTTGACAAGAATTTCATTTGAAGTTTAATATAGTTTTGTCGACTATGTTGAAGTGTAACAGTACTATGGTTAACATCTAATCTATTGCAATTTTAACTTGCAGAGACATGGCGGTTGGACTTGGGGTGGGGGAAATCTCAGCAGCATGTCTGCTTCAGTATCAACCCTCGGTGACAGTGGTTGGTTAATACATGTTCAAAGTGTCTTGGCTGGTTCAGCTTGGATTGCTGCACATGTTGCATTGGAATCAGCATCAGTGCTTGTGCATTGCAGGTCAGAATTCTTTTAATCTTATACATTCATCTATTGATCACTTCGATTCTTTGTTGCATTTAAGTGTTTTCTTTTTTAATTTTTTAAGTTGATTTGAGGATAGAATAATTCTCTCCAGTCTCTTTCACAAGACTTGTTTCTATGCCATTTACTATAAACTTTGTAACTCAGTGGTCACACTTGAGCAAGTAAATGGGTCTTTTTGTTCACTCATAAGGTCAAATTATTCTTGCTTATACATCATTGTTTAATTGGGGAAACCTGTGTCACTTTACTGAACCGGGTCTTAGATTCAAAGTGTCAGATGTGCAGGAGTTTTTATTCATCTGCACAGGATATTCTTGCATTGGCATGGTTTTAGAAGACATTGAGTCAAAATTTTTTGCATTAGAAAGTTTTACCAAAAGGTATGCAGGTCTAACAGCATGTTTGAATTGGGGTAAGGGTAAGGAAAGGAAAGGAGGGAAAGGGGGGAATTCCTCCCCCTTTTTGGGTATGCCTGAATTAAAATAAAGGAAAGGGAGAGGTTGCTGTACCCCCTTCAGTTCCCACTCAAATGCCCACTTTCAAATTACCCCAAATCAGGGGAAAAGTGGGGAAAGGAATAAAAATTTTAAAACGTGAAATGACTGCTATACCTTATTGCGTTCTTTAAATTTCAAATAAAACCTTTATAGTTCTGAAACCCAGCCATCTCTTGCAGCACTTCATCAACTACTTTTTTTTAGTCAAAAACTGCAGCTTCTATTGATTTATTGTCTTGATTTTCTTATTTATGCTTGGGACTTGAAAATTTTCTTTCCATTTTATTATTAATTCACAAACCATGATAAAATGAACTTAAAGAAACACAAAATATTGGGAAATAATGCCAACAATGGAGCTTGTTAAACTTGTAAGAAAAAATAGGACTTGTAAGATTGTATCTTAATAAGCGATATTCATATTCTTGAATTTTCTCTTTAGCTAATGCCAAAAAAGTATAGTTGTGCACAAACAATTCCAAAAGAAAAATTTATTGAGAAAAAATTACATGTCCTTAATTGAAGTTATTTTTCTTTTCTTTCAATTTCAAATTTATTTAAAATAATTAATCTCAAAGATCAATCACGTGATAGGTGAAATATTTTATTTAGAAAGAATATAATTGGAAAAGTTTATTAGAATATATCCTTTCCTTTCCTTTCCTCCTTAAACCAAAACCAAGGCTTTTCACAATCGCTCCCTTTCGTTTCTTATACTCATGTTAGCTATCCAAACAAGGTAATTACATATCCTTTCCTTAACGAACTTCAATCAAAACACGGTGGAAATCATTAGATGACCCTCAATATGAACTATGTGAAATGGGCTTTACAACTGTTATTTGATGCAATCAACTCATTTAACTTTTCAATTTGGTTTGATTGAGGCTATTCACATGAATTTGTTTAACAGTACTGAGTTGGCTGAACTGAAATCTGAAATTGTTAAAAATGAGAAAAGAAAAGAAAACATGTGAAAAGCTGTCTAGTTATCCAATCCTCAGCTCAGTAGAAACCTCAAGGCTAAATTTGATTGTGATATAAAATGCAATTCAGATCCATTCTATCTTAGAAAATAAATAAAGGAAAAAGATTAAAAAAAAAAAATCTAGCCTTCTCTCCTCATAGGTCCATGCCCCATTCCCTCCCTCTCCTCTCCCCCCACCCCAAAAAAAAAAAAAAATTTGTTGCAACTTTTAAATCTCCTCCCTCATGCCGACAACTGCATCTACCAGTAAATGATGTGACTGACATTACAATTGTTATTTACCTATTCTTTTTCTCTCTTTTTTCTTTTTTTAATTTTTACATTCAAATATGCATGACACCTAGCTTGTTTATTTAGTTATCTCTATTCTGGTGTTTTACTTGTGTCTGGGCTGTTTTATTGTACAGTGATGGATGGGATAGAACAAGTCAGCTGGTTTCACTTGCAAACCTCATGCTTGATCCATATTACCGGACGTTCACAGGTTTTCAGGTATTTTTCTGAACAAGGATCTTCTTGTCAACCAACAACCAAGGTTCTTGTTTTTGCATTTTCCATTTCTTAAACCCATCTCTTATTCATAGCATTACAGCACAAACTGCTTATTATGTACTAGGTTTTACTTGTACCTTTCCCTGGTTCACTTTTTCTCTGTGAGACTTCACATGTTTGGTATTAGTTTTGAGATCAACAAGTTTCATGTACACACAACCCCCAAAACATGTTTTTGCAGTTTAATTTCACTTGGTCACATCCACATGAGGTGCTGATAGTTTTTAAGTGCCCTGTGAATTTGGAATAACCATGTACCTAGATTCCTCTTAAGTTCTGGACTATTTTGTCTTGATGCAGGCACTTGTTGAAAAAGATTGGCTAGCTTTTGGGCACCCATTTTCAGATCGTGTTGGAATGCCCAGCATATCTGGAACTTCGTTTGAATTAACCAGACAATCTTCTACTGGAAGTTTTTCATCATCACCAATGCGCCAATCTTCAGGATCATTCACACCTCAAGCTTCTAATTCATCTCATGCGCAGAACAATTATTCCCCCATATTCTTGCAGGTGCTGACATTTATTTATGGTTATTCTGTCAATGAAGTAGCATTTCTTTGTAGTTTGTTAAATTTCACAGTTAATGGATTGCTAAAATTATAAGGGAAGATTATTATGATCCTCTTGAGGTTTTGGAATACACTTACTCTCCATTGGTATGAAAGATATCCTTTGTCCTCAAATAGAAACAATGTGAAATGGCCATTAAAAGGCTGATGGAATATGCTGAAAAAGAGATGTTGTGTTTAATGTATTTTTAATGCCATTATTTTATTTTTTGTTTAGGGAGGGGGGGGGGGGGAAGCAAAATGGTTTTCCAAACTAATCGGGTGTTAATGTATTTTCAGTAAAATCTTTTGGGGCTTGGATTTTACCCAAATAATAAATGTTTTATTTTTCTGATATCAATGATTAAACAGGATAATTCAGTTCACTGATTAATTTGAGTTTTATATGTTATGAAAAGTTGTGTTTTATAAGACTTATATTTTACCTGATCTGATTGGACAATCTGGTTGTTTTGCAGTGGGTTGATTGTGTTTCACAATTGTTAAGGATTTATCCTTTTGCTTTCGAGTTCTCCTCAGTATGTATCTTATTTTTATGCAGGACATGCATTTCTTGTCTGTATCACGTAGTAAATTTTTTTGTTTCATGAGGTTGACATGGCTGTTTCTTTTGTGTTACTCTTTACATTCTTACTTTATGGTGGTTCAGACTTTCCTGGTGGATTTCTTGGATTGTGTGCTTTCTTGTCGTTTTGGAAATTTCTTGTGTAACAGGTAATTTCCCTATCAGCAGCATTAACCTGCATATGCCAACTTAAGTTTTGCTTTATGATGAATCTGAGAATTGTAGCATGTTACCTTATAAAAATTTAAAATTTACTTATACACCAAGACAGAGCTAACATATTATCAAACATGGGCTTACTTCAAACATATGCACTTTGCTTCTGAGATTACATTGGGTTCATTACACATGATGTTGAGAAAACTAGTCATCTGCACCTCTATCCTTCATCTAAAATTATATTGCCTTCTTTTCATTATTTCGGTGTTTCTATAGGAAAATAGCAGAATATTTGTGCTTAACACTTATGACCATCTTTATTCTGGAATCAATGTGTTTATTGTTGCAAGATCAGAAGATTTATAAGCTTGCAGAAATGTGGAACAAAGCTTATAGTATGATATGTTGTTTCATATAATTTTGTTGAACCTAGAATTATATCCTTCACTGGTTAGTAGTCCAAAAACTGTGATATTGTACAACTGAGGTAGCTGCAATAGTACATGAAGGAAGTTTTAAATTTTTGAAGATGACCTTGTGGAATCAAAAAGAAATGATTTCCTTTCTTCTTTCCCTTCAAATTTCCCAAAGCCTCTTTCTAATTTCTCCAGTAATTTTTTTTTTTTTAATTCAGTGAGAAGGAGAGACAACAATGTGGTGTCTATGAAGCTTGTGGTTGCTTGTGGGCCTATCTGGCTTATCTGCGTTCTTCGGAGGGAAGTCCCCATGCCCATTATAACCTCTTCTATGATCCACTTAAACATAATGAGCCACTTTTACCTCCAGCAGCCGCTTTAGCCCCAACACTTTGGCCTCAATTCCATCTTCGTTGGGCTTGTCTTTCTGAATCCCAAGCTGGTGAGCTCGATGCTGAATGCAGGAACATGGCTATAAAGTTTTCTGAAATGCGAAAGGTATTAAATCTTACAATTTTGGGCCGCTAATCCTTAACTCTGGTTAATTAGACATGGTGCACTGGATAGATTAGAAGCAGGTAACAGTATTTGCTAAGCATGAGGTATTTCCGAAATATTTATTGGGTGTTGCAATACTAACAGGCTAAAGAAGCAGCTGAAATGAAAGCTAAAGAATACTCGGTGGCCATGGAAACATTGAATGCAGAGTTACGAAATGAGAAACAGGTCAGCAGCTCAGCAATGAACTTGGCCAAGAGAGCCAGCAAGGAAAGTGCAGCCATAAAGCGAGCCATGCAGTCGCTGGGGTGCAGGGTTGACTTTACAAGTAGCGGTATTTGTACTGTTGATGTTGAAAGCAATCCAAAAGAAACTTCACAAAAATTAATGCATTCTCCTCCTAGAAGAGAATCTGATGGTACGTTGGGACGTGATGACAAATCAGATTTATCCCTTTCGATTACAGCTGTGGCAGATGATGTTGTTTCCGGCAATCCACTTGGTCGAGTATGTGAAACTTTATGTCCTTTGTATACACGTGATGGGGGCTGTCGGTGGCCAGATGCTGCTTGTGCTCAGCTTGGTAGTCAGCATGTTGGACTGACGGCAGATTTTGATGCATTTGACCGGCTTTCTATTAATGAAGAATATTTTCAGTCTGAATGAAAATTTGGATTTATAGCTGAGTTGAGGTCTATAATCAGTTTTGGCCTCAATAATTAGATTTGGTGCAAGAAACTGGAAAATTTTTCTCTCTTCTCAGAAGCAGGCCTGGAGGTGGGGCATAAAGATACTGACCCTAGCTTTTTGAATGGGTCTCGGGGTATGTTGTACAGAAAATGTAGAGTCGATTGTTCTCTTCTAGTTTAGATACGCTGGAGGAAAGAAGCAAGAAATTTTACATTCAAGAGGTGACGCAGTTAATGCTGGTTCAGTTCTTGGTACCCTTTTTAGATAGGTGCTTTCAGTATAGCTATTACTCGGCCATTCTTTTCTTGCTCAAAAATAAGATTTGTGTACAGATTTTTGAGACTTAATTTCCAGCAATGTCGCCCCATAATCGATGTACACTGACCGACTGACTCAGTGACTGACTTTCAGGCAATTCACTAGTAAAAGTTCCTTAGCTTGATCCTCATACATCCTTACTCTCTCGCATTGTTAAAGCTGTTATTCTCTGCGTTTATTATTATTATTATTATTATTATTATTTTGTTGTTGCATGCAAGCTGAGTCAAGCCTAGTTGAATGTCTCAAATGAGCCATGTTGTTACCAAAGTAAGTGAAGAATGGATCTTCCATTTCACTCTCTCAAACGGTACTAAAACCAAGCCTTACAAATACGTTAAATAACATCTTATCCTAAGGCTTCCTGGCTTTCCTCTAATAACATTGTAAATGGCATTGTCAGAACAGGCGTGAAAAGAAAAAGGGCCCGGGCGGAGTGGGGGATTCCAACTCTAAAATGTGATGCCTTGGGATCTATTAATAGTACGCTACCATCACATTTATGTTGCAGATGTATCTCTGGACTGAATGCAGGAATATGGTTCCTCGCTTTCGTATTCGGATTCAGGGTAGAAGAATCCGTCTTCTCCTCCGGGGGTTACGGAATTTTCGGTTGGGGAATGATGGTCTCTCGCGGGAGGCACGTGAGGAGTGGTGAGAGAAGTTTTCATGGGAGGACAAGTTTGGGTGAGTTAGAGAAACGACGTCGTTAAAAGTTAGATGAAGAAGTGAGGTTTTTGGTCCTGGAAATTCCATGACGAAGTGGTAACGGTTCCGTCAAAAATGGAGAAAACGTCCGGCTTTAACCTTTTTCATTATTACCTGGTTTTAATAAATATTTATTTCTTTTTTGTTAATAAATAAAAGAATAATTTAATTACACCTATTAAAAGTTGAAAATTCTAACTGAACATTAAATTAAATTTAAAAAATTAAAAATGCACTAATAAGTAATAAATTTTAAGGTTTAAGTTTATTTTTATTATAATTAATCAATTTTTTAATATTATTTATATTCAATTAAATTTTTATTTAAATGAAAAAGTTAAAATTTTTAATTTTTTTATCAATTATGACAAAATTTCATATGATATCAATAAAATAAATAACATTTTACAACATGAGGTAATTAATATATATATAAATTAAATAAAATAGTTTTTTTTGTTCTTTATTTTCTCTATCCCTCTTTATGATCCCTCTAAAAATTTAATTAACTATAATTTAAAAATTAATTGATTTAATTTTATCACGTGATTAGATTTTATTTATTTAAAAATTTGATTAAATCATAATAAAATATTAAAACTTTGATTGATTATAATAAAGTATTAAGTTCTTAAAGACATTTTTTACCATTTAACCTCTTCTTTCTAAAAAAAAAAAAACTCTGACATATATTAATTTAATCTAAAATAATTAAATGGATTTTTTTTTTTTCCAATTGTGGCATTGTCATGTGAGACTTATTTAATTTGAGTGGTTTTCTTCATCTAATACCAGAATAATGGGTCTCATCAACTTCGCCCACATTCCCACACAATAGTTAAAAACTCAAATCAAAGCTATTTAAGCTGGTTTCAATGTTAAGACTTAAGAGTCCCCTGAAAAAGGCCAAGGCCAAGATACAGCAGCCATGGTCATATATTGCATACAAATGTATTTCCTTTTTCTTTGTTTAGATTCAAAGGGTCATGGAATTGTAATAATGATGGTAATTGTAAAACGTATAAGATGCAGCAAAAGCAAATCAAGGAGTAACTTTAAAAACTTGGACACTGATTGATGAGAATTAGGTAGAGAAAAGAGGATGAGCTCTCTGTTTACTATAACTCTTTAAGTCCAGAATGCAACTTGTCTGATAAAACAAACTCTAGAGATAGTCATATTTATTGAGAGTTATCATCAGCAGGAGCCTGCTCATTATCGGATGATTCTTTCTTGGCTCCCATATCCTTCCTTTCCTTCCATCTTGCCCAAATCCATTTTGCTAAAAAGAAACCACCAATGGCATAAACCTGACAGCAAAAATTAACTAATTGGACTAGCAAAAACCAAATGAAGGATAAAACAATGTGTTCATGTTTAGTAGAAACCCCCAACACCAACAGCCAAATAAATCTACAATAATCAATAATACTACAACACTTCCAAAAGAAATGGCGGAAGGGAAGGGATGCTTTGGCCCATGGGATCAGAGGGGGGGTGTGGTCACATTAGATCTTCTGTGTAGCTAAAACCAACTTAGATGTCACACCCTGACAACTCGGAAAATCAAAATGAATCATACTTGAAACTTCTTACAAGTAGAACAAGCCATTTCTTTGGAAGAGAAATTACATAAGTTAGCCATTTCTTTTTACAAACAAATAAAATGCTGCTTGTTAGCCTTTATTGTGTTTACCAATCATGAAATGTTATCAATATTCCATTGGTTTATATGTTATCAAAAAAACATAAAAATATACAATCACCTTCTCAGCCATAACCAGAATACTGCAACTATTGATTACATAACTGTGTAAAAGTAACATATGGAAAAAAATCCTGCTTACCAAGTGTTTAGGAAAAAAAAGGCTACCTATGGCAAAAGCCAAAAAACCTAAACACATTTAGTTATTTATTTACTCGTAATAACTAAATCACTAAGTTTTTTATCTGAATGACTACAGAAGCAGCTAGCATAAATTTTTACCAGTAACAAGTTTCAAGTGAAAAAAAAAACCAACATTCTCTAAGCCTGTCAAAACCAATCTGGTCCTAATCAAACCCATTTACCGATGAAGTTACAAAAATGCTTTATTCAATCTTATATTGAGAAGCCAATCATTTTCTCAATAATCTGTCATCCAGAAGGTAACATTACTATTACCTCTTTCTTCTAAGACAGAACAATCTACCATCCGCAACACCCATCATAAGCAAGCTAAAGGAATTAGGTGGACATACTATTCATTCTAAATCTTCCTGTTTATAGTAAATCAATCTTCCTGAAACACATTCACCATGATTTCACAAAATTGACATCATTTACTCACTCCACTTCCATCATAACAAACTTAGAAGAAATTTGTCTTGCCCCAACAGTTTAAGCTACGGCTTTAATCAATTTTGTTGAAATAATTTACTTATATTCTGCATCAAACCACATTTGCAACAAACCATTGACAAAACCATTTTGATCCATAAATCTTAACAGCTCCGGAAGAATATGTCTAACAATTCAACTCAATGAAAGTCATAGATAAAGGCTCTTTCCAGGATGCATTACAAACTAATAAGGTTCTAGGGACTACAGTTTTCAACCTCAATTATTTATTATAGTTATACTGTTGAAACTATTAAAAGATTCAGAATATATCACGACAATATATCTCCAGAAGGTGTCCCTAAAACTACTCCTTTTTGTGATGGAACATAATAACAATGTCAACCAAAGTTGGACTTTTCATTTTCCTTTAAGTACCCATGTATGTCTGACACATATCCCGCGGACATGGATATGGAAGTCTGATCCTCTAAATATGTGAAAAAACTGGGATTACCCGTGTTGGAAACTCACCCCTGGGTCCGACTAACACAGATTTCCTACATACATTGGCAAATAATCGCAGCCACACTCTACAAAAAAACTCCTTCCGATATGATATAAGAGTTTATATTCAATACACTGTCAATATGTTACTGTAACGGTTCACTGACAATTTATTGAAGAATTATACAAGGATAGCGCTAATCATACTCAAATTAATCTGAATAAAAATATTATAATTGATAAAACCAACCAAAGTTTGCTTCTTTTAATTATATTTGTAGTTACCTATCATACCCAAAAACAGAAAAAGAAATTATAAGAAAAACAGTATACCTGCCAGAGAACAATAGGATTAGAAGACCTCCCAACGCACTCCTCCGCTTCAAATTCCAACGGCGGTGGAAGTTTCTGGCGGTGTCCCATAAATAAAGATGGTGGTTTTGGAATTTCAATTTCTTCCTCTTTTTTAACCAAAGCCTCTTGTTTTTTTGGGTGCTGGTTAAAGAAAGGAATTTTCAGCTCTATTTTGGGTAACATTAAGAAAATATTTTTGAGTTCTAAAGGATTTTCATTTTTGCTTGGAGTTTCTTTGTTCTTTGCTTCCGCCATTGGACTTGTTTCTAACTCCAGCCAGCAGGCGTTTCTTTATTCAATGTATCGGCGGAGAAAGCAGAGAGGTCACGTGCTCATTGCACGTGCTTGCTGTATTTCTTTTTGAATTTTTTGATGGGAGTTTTTATTATTATTATTTTTTTTTACTTTAATAAATTTTGAAGAAAATTTTGATTAAAAAAATACTAATTTTTTCAGCGGCTCTTTTTACCGATGCTTATACTAGGTTTATCTAGAAATATTCCAGATGGAAAATGTTTTAACTCAATGATTTATTGATATTAATCTAGGTGATATTTATAAAAAATGGCAATTAATATATTATTTTTTGAATATTAGAATATGATTAGATTAGAAAGTGCATTACATGAAGGTTTTTAAAATAATATTTAATTATCCTTAATAAATATTTAATCAAAAAAATTGACCAAATTAATTACTATTATTTCATCTATTATTATTTATAAGTGTCTTTCCAAAGACATTGAAAGCAAGAAGTAAAAGTAGACTGACAATAATACATAAAAAAAATTATATAATTTAAGATTTTAATAAATTATATATAAATTAATAAAATAAAAAAATATTCTTTATTTTTATATCTATATAAATTATTATACATAATTTTTATATAAAATACAATATTAATACATAAATTATTATTATTTTATATAATACAGATACGAAAATTATCATATCTAAGTTAATCCAATCAAGTAACCGATCAGTCCATGCAAAGACAGCCATCGCAGAAGCAGCAGGCCGAAACTTCAAGGCCAATCATGGTTCTGTACAAGAATGAACAAGAAATTGAATCAAATTGCACCGACCGACTGTGATATATGCTTGGAAGAGTTCAGAGATGGGGATTCTTGTAGGATTCTTTCTAACTGCAAACATCTGTAGTACATGAACTTTGCAGAGATCAATGGCTGGTTAAGGATAGGAATTGCCCACTTTGTCGTGGTTACTTCTGTCCACGATTGGAACCAACACCAACCACTGATCAGATTGTCGACACTTGTTAGAGCCGTTGAAGCCATTGGTTCCTTAAGTTTTGTTGCGTAGCCGGTCGCCATAGCCATGCCAATGATGACGATAGCATTGGGGAAGAGCTGGAGTTTCCATCTTCCTGTAGCCTAATTTAAAAAAAAAAAAAAAACCTTTGAAGTTCTAAATAGAAAGAATAAAGAAAATGTTTGCATTTATTAAAATCACTAGAAGAAAATAAAAGATTAATAGTAGTTTTGTAGCAATGTTTCACTTACAAACATCGTTAGTTTTCGTATTTTTATAAAACTTAAGGTATTTATTATCAAAACATCATTAAATATTCAAATAGTGACATTATTACTTATAAATGTCACCAAAAACTTGATATTAACGACGTTTATCGATTAAAATGCCTTGAATAATCCCGTTAAAAAATTGATAGGAAATTACTAAAGGCATTTTTGGCATATAACGCCTTCAATAATCCCCTCATAAAAAAATATATGCGATTATTGAAAGTATTTTCAACAAGAAACGCTTTTAATAATTTCATCAAAAAATTTCACAGGTTTATTATAGGCGTTTTTTTGTCAAAAACGCCTTCAATAAATATCATATAAAAAATTTTGGATCGTATAAATGTTAACTATAAGGTGGTAGGTTTGATCCCTCCCTTTAGATTTTTTTGACTTTTTGCACAGATTATTCGTAATTGATTACTCTAGGTATTTTCTGAGCAAAAACATCTTCACCAATTTTTCCAAAAAATTTTGGAGAGAATATTGAAGGTATTTTTGACAAAAAAACACCCTTAATAATCCATAGAAAAAATATGAAATCGATTCTTGAAGTCATTTTTGGGCAAACTCACCTTTAATAATCCAATCAATAAATTTTTAGTATGGATTATTAAAGGTGATTTTTGTCAAAAATACCTTCAACAATCTATACACAAAAGTTAAAACGGATTCTTAAAGGCATTTTTTGGCTCAAAACGTCTTTAATATTTCACACAATAAATTTGAATGGTTGGATTATTGAAAGTGATTTTTTTGAAAAATGCTTTCAATAACATTTTGTTAGGGATTATTCAAGGCATTTCTGACAGAAAAACGTCTTTAATAATCCATACCAAAATATGAAATGAATTATTGAATGCGTTTTTGGCCGAAAGCACCTTCAATAATCCATTCAATTAATTTTTACTTGGTATTATTGAATGCGATATTTTTTTTAAAACGCCTTCAATAATCCATACAAAAAAGTTAAAACGGATTCTTGAATGTGTTTTTTGCCCAAAACACCTTTAATATTCCACACAATATTTTTGTATGTAGGATTATTGAAGGTGATTTTGGTTAAAAACATTTTCAATAACAGTTTGTTAGGGATGATTCAAGGCTTTTTTTGCTAAAAACGCCTTCATTAATCCCATAAAAATTACATTTTTGATATCATATATGTCAAGTCAGTTATAGGATTATGCCCAGAAAATATTTGAAGTCAATTGTATATTTATGACAAAAAACATTTGATTTATATATGTGATACTACGAATTACATTTTGAAATTTACATAATGAACATTGTTGTATTTCAATAAATTGACCACATCTGAATTTAAAATTGATAACATTGCCATATTAATATATTTTTCTAAAATAATCGTACTCAGTAATATATTAAGGACACATAGTGTATTCATATTAAGCATACCAAAAATATTAAACTAATACCCCAATCTACAAACTTAAATTTTTCATTTAACATGGTATGTTAAAAACATTACAATAATTTGTTCCTCATATATTTACATTCAACCAACAATGTCTAACTTCAAAGTTTATCATCATTGATAAATGATAATACATACTCACACCATTCTTTACAGAATTCATCCAGTTCCTCTACCGTGAAGCTTTCTTTACCCTGTCACTAAAAAAAATCAGAAGTAAATGTTAATAAATGAGAACATAATTTAGCTTTTTATTTTTTTGAAGATATAACGAGTTTATGAAATTTATACTAATCTTGAATGATGTAGTCATAAAATCATATAAACTATCTCTCGCATAAAATGAAAGACATAATATTCACATTCAGTATTACCAGGTTGACGAGGTACCTGAAAATTAAATTGAGTGGGTTTAAGAAATATTTATCTACACAAACTCAGCATAAAATAATAAATTTCATATTTACCAGTAATGACACCTATTTCGATTTTTTTATCTTCTTATTGAATGCAGATATTACCCTAAATTGAAAAAAAAATTACTTAATACATAAATAAAATTACTTATGAAGAAACAAAAGATATATAATATAATAATGTGAAATACCTCTTTATAAAAGTTTGAATATCGGGGTTAGGCATTGTCATTAGATTAACCGAATTAAGTAAGTATGATGTTAAGGATTTGGTATCAATCACAGTAAGCACCCAATGACGATTGCAAAATAATAACAATAATATACTCAGATTATGCATCAGATCAGATTTAGGTAAAATAGGAATAATTAAGGTTGGAATATAACTTATTGCACATTATACGAGAGCAAATAATAATCAATCGATCTTTTCATGCATTCAATCACATGATTAGCATGATAAACAACTGTGTCACTCTAATCATTAATAAAATTAGGATCAACGAATTTAAAACTGTTAGTCAACTGTCTCCCCTTGAGCTCTCTATATAGGAAGCTACACAATAATAATCAGTAGTGCTAGTTAGTATTACACCGTAATATAGATTAATACATATTGAATGTGCATATTTGTATTTATAAGCTAACCTCATATAAGCAACAATATCAACAATTGATAATTCATCAAGTTCACAAAATTCTTTAACCTTCTCCACACCAATGAAAGAAAATGATGATTTATCAAATAACCCTTCCTCAAACTCAATGGTTATGAAGTTTCCTCTGGATAAATGCTACAGTGAATAATTAGATAACTCATCCATGGTAGCCTGAGTAAGGGTCATACTCTAAGTCTCAACATTTTGCTTCAATATATAATGAAATATAAGTATTAAAACTAAATCAATAAATATAATAAACAAATTAATATTAAACTTATAAACAAAATTATACTTTATGGGTGGTAGCGGAGGATGGGTTCGCTGCCTCACTTGTAATGAAAGCTTATCCTACGGGGACGATGCTATTAGACTGGCCTACTGGCAAGCTATGCTACATTGCTGGCAACACGGCTTCTAAAGCAGTGAGTCTTTGCTGTTGCTAATTGAGGTGTTACTACTGGTCATCAATTTATTGCTGTTGTTGCTAAATGATTACTGCATATTGTGCATTTCTTATTCGCAAGGTTTTGGGTTGATTACTAAAAACTTTGATGGTAAGATAAATTTACCAACCCTATGAACTCGATCAAGCTTTTTTTTAGCGTCTAATGCTAAAAATAATAGATTTTCACCATATTGGGTTGCCAGTTCATCAGATTTGACTTTGACAGCATAATCATCCTGAAAGACAATAATAAGATGGGCTATAACAATAAATCTATACAAGCTAGTATACAGTTATGCCTACAACCACAATGCAATCATACATGATATTAAAAAAGTAGTTATACATACAATCTTTTTTGTCATTTCTGCGGTTGCTTCATTTGTAAAAGATTCATCCTTCCATAGATATCCTTATTTTTAGACATTTCATCTGAAAACTTTGATGCCAGAACTCGTTGATTCCTATTAAATTATCATAATATAAGAATCAGAATGTATGAAATGAATGTTCATAAATAATTATTAATGAGTATAAAATAAGTGTACGAATACATACAAGCTAATACTTCACATTTATATATCCCTTTCTCACTGTCCGATGGTGATATTGTTGTTTAACCTGAATGTTCTTTTGGTTTTCTTTGATTTTTTATAAAAGAAAGAAATTTCATCAGCTTTTACAATTCTTCAGCTTTTACAATTCATGATTTTTTTATTTAAATAATTTTCTTTAAAATCTACCTTATTTCACCTTATTTCAACCCCAACTACAAAACTCTTAAGTATTGTCTACGTTAGCAGTAGAGTTTTAACATTCATAAT